CCCTGAAGAGCTCTCAGATGGACAGGTTCTGAGGGGCTTTTGCAGGATGGCTGCAGAAGTAGGAGGTTTATGGGTTGGTAGGAAGCCATACGGTCTCACAGCACAGTGGCTAAAGCTGGTCAGATCCCTCAGAATTCTAACCTCAGCCCACAGTGGTTTGCTCCCTCTGAGCATAGCAGCAAAGAAAGTGAATGGAAACCTCAGCAAGTGTCTGAAAGGGAGATTGGAGGTGTTCAAAGCCAACATGAACGAGGATTTGGGCAACCTGATCTAGTGGGTTGCAACCAGCCCCATGGCAGTGGTGGGAGCTGAACGGCTTTGAGGTCTCTTCCAACCTGAGCCATTCAGTGACTCTAAAGAAAGGCTGGGCAACTCCGGAACATGACAGAGAAGACCAGAGTGTGGCTGTGGCTCACACACATGAGAGCTGTGCCCAACCCCAATGCTCACCCATCACGTGTGTCCTCGTAGGCACGAGCTGCCTGGCCTCATTCACACTGCTCAGCAGGAACGCATCCGGCAGCTTCTCAGGCAAATCTCACTGGGGAAAGGAGAGAGCAGAGGTGAGAGTGCTTCCCTGTGCTGCAGAGGGCTTCACTTTGCACCTCCAGGGCCAGAGCTACTGGCATTGCAATGCCAATACATCTGTGTATAAACAAGTTTCTCTGGGGCACATAACACAGTTCCTTTGGGGTTTGCCCATCATTGGCTGGCTGTAGCTACAGAACATGGGGGAAGCCCCTACAGTGCTTCTCTGAGTGGGATCACCTCCAGGGGAACAGAAAGCTTCAGAAATCAACACAAAGGGGACAAAAATCTCCAAATTCACCCAATATTCTTTGAACTGTCATCTCTGACGGACCAGGAGTTGATTTGAATTGGGCTGGGAGGACTGCTGAACCTTGGGGATGGAGCTGCTCTGAGATCTGAGCTCTCCTTTAGCGTGGTTTTAGGAAATCAGACAGGAAATTCACTGAAAAAACCTGAGTGTCAGCATTGCTGGCCCTATAGATACAAACTGATTACTCTTCTCACTGTTTGGGACTCAGCTGCTTACAAGAGTTCAGGTTCTCTTAGACTTAACTTTATTCTTTTTCCTATTCAAACATGAAGGCCCCTGTTCTGCAAAACCTGAGAAAGAGACAATACCATAGGAAGAAGATACAGATTCCAGGAACAGGATGAGCATCACCAGCAACACCAGGAAGCAGGTTTCTGCCTTCATCCCTGCAAAGAAAGGTAAGAAATGAGGAAAATCAAGAAGCCATGCATCCGACCATGAATGGTGCAGACGGAACACATTAGGGGAGCACACAAAGTGGCTCCTTCCCAATGCAATGCTCCCCTACTGTGTGCACTGCCCAGCAAGACCTTCCCATGCAGCAGCAGCAGCATCTTCCACGAAAGCAAAAGCGAGTGTGCAACGGATCAGATTCTCACCTGCTGTCTTCTTCTGTCCTCACTGTGCCTCTGTGGCCACGCTTTTATCTGCAGCAGGTTGTTATCTGATGTGGGATATCTGAGCCATGGGGAACTGCCCCCCGGATTGGTGGGGCCAAAGCAGAGCAGCACCTGCTGCCCAGCCCAGCTCCCAGCAGGGGCTCCTGTGTGCCCCACAAATGGTCCTGCACACCCGCCGGGACGAGGCAGAACCCTGCAATGGTTTGGGGGTCATGGGATGCCTGATGGGAATAGATTCCTCTCCCTGTCGTCATCCTTTACTGCTCTTAAAGGCTGAAAAAGTCTCAGGAGTGGAGGTGTCAGCTCCAGGGGAGATCTGCTCATCACTCCCCATCTCAGCTCCCCAACCTGTCCTGCTCTTTCTCCCTGCTGTGGTCTGGATGGGCTCACAAATGCCATTCCTTGTGCTTTATGCTTCCCTGCACAGACAGAAGCAGCAGGAGAGGAACCTGGCTGATGGTCTGACCACCACCAGCCTCCAGCAACAGATCCTGAGCTCTGGGCAGCTCAGGTTGGGGTTTTCTCTTGCCCAAATTGCCCCTGTGCTCTTGGGAGCTCACTGGACAGCCCTTCCCTTGCACAAAGTCCCTCTCCCTGAGTGCAAACCCAGCTGCTGGACCAATCCCACTGTCTTCCAGCTGTGCTAACACTACAGGGAACTGGGATTCTGCTGGACCTGGTGAATAATGTTCTTCAGCCAGATGAGGTGAGAAGAAGCACAGGAGATGCTTACCAGCTCTTCCTCCTAAATGGGACTCCAGCTTGCTGCACTGTGTTCATCCCATAACAGAAACTCCTCAGTTCAGCAGCACAGACTGAGACCAGGGCGGCTTCAGTGAACGTCTGAACTCCTCCCTGCACGGGGCATTCAGGAACCACAGCGTTGTCTCCCTGCTCCCAGCAGCAGCTCTGCTCATGCTGGTGTCCCCAGGGCTACCTGCAGGCTGAACCATGCCCTTTAACTCACTGCATTGGTCTTTTAGAGAAAACCTGCAAAGCAAAGAGCAAACCTTGCAGTGAGCCAGAGGTGAGGCTGCACGTGGAGCATGTGTCCCGTTTGCAGCACTGCTCTTGTGCAAAGGGGCAGAGCTGGCTGAGTTTTGCAGTCTTCTTGCTTACTCTGCTGCACCATGCAGCTCCCTGGTCAGAACGAGGGTAAGGGTTTTTCAGAAGCTAATGACAAAGTTAGTGCATATTTGTGCTGATAATTGCATTTCACAATGCAGAACTTACTTCATTGCTCTCAAAACCTTCAGCAGCAAATAAGACACCATGTGCTGCTCCTCCAAGGGTAAGGAAACAAGAACATAATGTCAGCTCAAGCAGCGTTGCCTCAGAGCAAAGATATTTCCACACCATCCAACTGCTCCTTCTGCCTGCAAAGCCTCCAAATACTCGGACCAAGGGCAGCCAGAAGACCCAAAATAAGAATCATACATCCCAGCCAGGGGCTCTGTGCTCCCAGTTTTAAGCAGTGATTAATTAGGATGAGCCCAAAAGCAGGAGTGACTTCTCCATCCTCCAGCAGCAGATGGCAGCGGTCCCAACAGCTCTAGGTGTGCTCCAGGGTGGCTCACTGGCTCTGTGCCACTTCAGAGGTAATTTGGTCCTTTGGACAATGTGTAACTTTGGACAGGACCCCTCAGCAGACGACTTACAAGGACAGATGATCCCATGCCCTACCCAGGGCCATGCACCACCTCCCTCATTCTCTAATGCTATGGTCCCAAAAGCCCAGGTCAGACCAGCCTGTCTGCTCTTCCCTACGTCAATTCAGCTCACCACTGAGAGCTGTACAAGAATATTCAACTCCTGCACTTCTTGAGGTCTGCAAAAAGTCAGCCCAAGCTCTGTTCTTATGAAAGAAGTTTTGTGAACTCAGGAATGCGCTGAAGCTCAGCTCACCTGGATGGGGCTCCGAGCACTGCAGGTGTCCCTGCTCACTGTGGGGGGTTGACACTCTTAGAGTGACCTCTAAGGCCCTTTCTGACTCAGAAGATTCAATGATTCTATGCCTTTGGGAGCTATGGCTAACCAAACGTTGGTATTTTCTCTAGAAATGAGAAGATGCTGAGAACATCCTGAGGAACCCATCTGTGTAAGTACCCCTGATTCTGTCTGCTCGCCCCTTCTCCCATTTCTTCTGTACTTTGATGTGCAGAGGATGTGTGTGAAGGTCTTGAAGGTCTTGAACCTTTCTTCAGACTTCTGCCTGGTGCTGGGGAACCAACTGAATTAGTGTGACTGTGTGATGGCAGTCCATGTATGTAACAGGGAAATTTGGTAGGCAGCAGCCCAGCGTGTCCTGGGGAGCAGGGGGTCACCATGAACCTACGGGCACAAGGACTTGGCTGAAGGAAGTTCGCAGGGAGAAGCAGAGCCCTCCTGCAGGCACCTGCTCTGGGCAGGCACCAAAACACCGCAGCTGCTGTTGTTCCTTCTATGGGCTTTGCTCTTCAGTTCACTCGCTGATGAAACGATAAGGCAACAACAGTTTCTTTCAAAAGACCTCCAACGACTCGCTTAGGAAATTGCAGATGTTAAATTCAGTTTAGAACTGCAACCGACTTCCTCCAGGCAGGGTGAGTGGGAGATAAATTACAGCAACTGCAGTGCACAGAGGTATTTCTGGAGGCACCTGCTGCCAGAATTGGGGTTATAGTCATAGAATAGCACGATTTGGGACTGCGAGGAGAACTGAGCCCAGCTCCTGGCTCCACACAGCACTGCCCACAACTGATGTCACTCACCCAAACACTTCTCCAGCTCCAGCAGCCTTGGTGCTGTGATGGATGCCCTGGGGGCTTCTTCATCAGCAGCCTTTGCAGAGCCCCACGTAACGCTGCAGAGCTCAGTTTCAAGTGTCTGCAGTTCCACAGAGGCTCCTATGAGGCACCGTCTGCCCTGAGTCTGAAGCCAAGACCCTATGGTTGGACCTCAGCGCTTTTGGGGTTTCTTTATTTTTCACTTCTACCCAAAGTATACTGAAGAATGGAAACAGCCATTCCAGTTGGTGAGAGGGGAAATGTCTTCCTTTTCCTTTGGTCAGTTGCCATAGGCAGTGTTTTTTTTTCTGGATCCAGGCGTCTTCTAGGGAAAGCAAGGAGAAAAACTGCAACTCTGAGCAAGACAGGAGGAAAAACCTGTTTGTCTCCAGTATCTCCAGCCTTCTCTCACCTGATCAGAGACACCACGTTCTGAGGCACTACAGAACTCAGCAGCTACATGGGAGGATGAGACACTGAGTAGCTTGAGCACGGTTGGAGACAATGATGTCCACAAGTCCTTGCCAATCCTGGGCACTCTGTGATCCAGGCAGTCTAACAGTGCAACTACACCTGATGTCTCCTCCTCCAGAATTAGGTCTCTTGTGACAGGAGAGGCAAAGAGTTTCTATTCGCTCACAGTGATGGCAGGGAAGGCAGGGACCCACGTGAGGGGCTACGGAGCATCCTCAGGGTGCCAGGGACTGGGGCTGTTCTTCCACCACACACACCACCACCACTCCCAAATAAGCAACACTGAAGCAGGTGCTTTTTTAAGGAAAATGTATTTTTGTGAAAATAGACTTTATTATAATAAAATTTGATATTAAATAAAAACATACCTTATCACCAACATCTGTGGACACTGTGCTGGCATCATTCACATACCTCACATAACTGTCCTTCTCAAAACAAGTACCCACTGAAACATGCAAAGAAAAAAACATAGCAAAGGATAGAAACCATGTCGTACAAAACTCCGTGGCTTAGAAAGGGATGTGACTGAACTGAAGGAACGCATCATCTCATATGGAAACAGCTGCAAACTCTCCATCCCCAGCTCTGCTCTCCAAACGCTCCAACAAGTGAGGAGCAGCGCACTGAAACAGCCGAGTGAAATGGTGAGAGAGGTGGACAAAAAACAAAATAAATACATAAATAAATAAATAGAGAAATAAATAAATAAGGCGGAGTCCCCAGCCGGCGCGTGGTCACGGCGAGCCAGCCAAGAGCAGCTTACAGCAGCCCTCGCCATTGGCAGAAGCATCGACCCCCTCCTGGGTGTCGCCCCTTCCTCCATGGGAATCCGTGCTGAAACACGACTGAGGCAGTGTGGGATGCTCCTAGGCACAGCTGCGTATTTACAGGTTTACAGTACAAATAACTCACTTGTCAGCCCAGAGACAGCAAAGGGGATTCACAGGAAAAGTGCAAATTTTCTTTGCAGGAAGTGAAGGACTCGACACAACCTCCTTTGGACCAGAGAAATACCAGGGGTGTAGTACAAGGGAGCTCTTCCTAAGGGGCTGGGGCTTTGTTGGGAAAAGCCATTGAGCTAACTTACAGCCAGAGTATATTTCTTAAATTAAAATATTTACAGGGAACCGGTGCATCGAGGGCTGCGAGGAGCAGGACGCCCTACTGTGGAGGAAGCTGCATCCTAAAGCCTGGGCCTCACACACCTCAGTGCCGTGACACTTCCAGAGCCGCTGCCCACCTGGGGGGGCACCCGTGGCTGAGCTCTCAGCAGAGCATGCAGCTCACCTGCTGAGGAGCTTCCTCTATTCAATAGAACTTTTCTGCTATGAAAATACTCTAATCAGCTTATTGCCAGGGCTTCTCCTGAATTGTCAGTGCCTGTGTGGATTGCACAGGCAGTCCACACATGGCGATAAATCCATTGTTAGTCTTTCTTACTGGACCCAAGTTTTCTGAAGAGCTTTTTTCCTTTGATGAAGAAGCCTCTCTTCTTTTTACTCTGAGCAGGTAAGTCGCTGCATTTGAGAACAGCCAGCGATGCCCGCTCTGGACGCTGCTCGCCCGTGGCAAGGCAGGAAGGTGGTGCAGGAGGAGTCGGTGAGAAGTCACTGTGATCAACAGATCCATCTGGATTTAACTGGGTGGGAGAAGAGAAAACAAAGGAAAAGAAGGATATTATGCCAACAAACCCCAGCCAGAAAACCCTGCCTTCTCCCACCACTCTGTCCCTCACCCAGCAAGGCTCAGCCCCTCCATGGTTGCAGATTCAGTTAGGAAGCTTCTGGTAAAGTGTTCTCTACTTCTCACCCAGATGCTGCCTCACCTCAGACACTCCAAGATTCCTTAACTTCAAGCTACAAACAGTGTAGTAGAAAAGCCTCGCTGAGGACCTGATGGAAGATGCTGCTTCACAGCTGAAGAAACAGAAGTTCAACACCTCCTGAGTGCAAGGATGGAAAGACTGCCTGCTGGGTGCCTGCAGTCAGGGCAGGATGGGGGCTCCCTGCACAGCCTGGGCAGATCTGAAGCAGCTCAGCAAACTGCACAATTGCTCCTGCCAATCTAGGCATGAAAGACTGCACGCAAAGGGAGAGGCAGGCACCAGGCCAATTCAGAAATGACACAACTGTTTTCAGAAATGACAGCTCATTGTCAAATAGTTACAGGGAAATGGCTGCAGTTCCCTGTCTTTGTGGCTGCAAGTCCTGATTCCCAGCTGTGGTACGCGATGCCCAAGCAGACTTCCATGCACAGAGGCACTCATACACACACACAGATATTCTCAGAGGTCTCCATATGGCAGAAAAACAACAGGAATCACTTTACAGATTCATCTGGTAAGAGATAAAGGATGCTAAAATCAGGGTTTCTTCCCTGTGAGAAAAATGGAGACAGAACCACTCTGGCAAGATCCTGCTGAAAGCTGTTGGGGCTGATAACAGTGGTGTTAGTTGGCAGGGGATGGTTTCCAGTGCTCTCTTGGGTATTACTGATTAATCCAACCACACAAAAGCAAGTCAAACACAGATCTCCTCCCGCTGCTCCCCTCAAAACAGGGGATCTGACCCCCAAGCCTCAGCATTGATTCTTTGTTATCAGACAGAACAATTATCCACACAAGGTTGGTTTTAGGGACTAAATGTTACTGCTTTCTTAACTTGATGGGGTCCCAGGAGGTTTGAGGAGTATACTGAGGAAAGAGTGAAATCAAGAAGTGAAAAACAGGGGGATCCTGCAAAGGCTACATGAGGCATTTCTACAGTGGTAGAGCAGCAGGTCTGAATTACAAAGCAGATCTTTTCTAAACCTGAATACCCAGCACTCCTACATTCGCACTGCAGTCCCCAAAACCACCAGATAATCGTTCAAAACAGCACTTTATGTGCTGAACACGGCTCCAATTTAATACAGAACTAACTGAGCAGGTAAAGAACTGCCAGCAGAGGGCTTTAGGCTGGTGTCAGAGCCCCAGAACAGCTTCTCAATCTACAAGAACAGCAAGAACAGGAACAAGCTGCAAGTGTGGAACTCTCTAATAGGCTGGTTAGGAAATGGAAGAGATCTTCTCACACAAACTTACATGGTTGCTCTCTCTCTATGTATCATTCATATCTATCACTGGACTCTTCTCTTCCTCATTCTCTGAAGGAAAGAACCGCCATGGGTGCATAATACAGGCAGAAATAAATACATGAAATCAATTAGAATGGAATACTTTCTGAAGATGCTTTACAATCAGTCTGACAGAAACTGTATTGGCAATGCAAAAAAGATTCATTCAGCAGCCATGGCATTAAAGCAGGCCACTCCTAGCTGCTGAACAGCAGTGTTTCAGTGCCCTCGCTTGTGATCATAACTTCTTGGATACTCCTTTTTGCACTGCATTTTTTACTGCTCACTCCAGCCAAATTGATGTCAGTTTGAAAGTTAAATTGCTTTACCTTTATCTGTTGTCAGCATTTTAAAATTTGCTCAGAAATAGTTCTAATAATTCACCTTCCCCAGTTCAACATTCAAATAGTCCTTATTCTCAAGCCTTTGTCATATCAGAATGCAAAAAGCAAATGGGAAGAAAAGATCTGGTGAAAACTTGAAATCCAAGAAGTTATAAGCAATTCAAAAACCACTCCTGGTCATGCTGGAGAAACTTCTGTTAAGACTTGAAGTCGCTTTAACACAGCCCAAAGCTCAGACAGGATACACGGTGAGGATACATGCTCATTGATGAGTTAGCTTTTAAGATGAATGAAGCTGGCAAATTTGATGGGAGACCTGTTATGCTGTGTTTAATATTCAAACAGTGCTTCCCTAAGGGCTGCCAGGGGCTTTTGCACTCCCCCCATTCACCCCAACCCAGAGATGCTTCCATCTGTGTTCTGCTAGATACACACACCAACACCACACTTAAATGGCACACTCCTAAACTATGGAATGAATATGTGGAAGACCAGAAAGCCTCAGGTGGGGCTGTATCACACAGTGCCCCTAAAATATTCAATAGGAAGACATGTTCCTTCTGCCTTACCTATCAGGAGCTCTGCTTATAGGTGTGGATGCTGTGATTGCTATGACAGCCAACAACTCCGTGGGTCAGGTTCTGCCTCTCCTCAGAAATCACTGAATGTACTTAAATGTAGTTAGGTAGCACAAGCTTGGTTAGGAGCAGGGTAAACATACTGCTTTTACAAAGAGACAGGCAGACAAGCACGCCCTTCGTATTTGGAAGCTGTTTAGATACATCTGGACTGCAAAGCAGAGACCAGGACTGTGTGGAGTCAGAGTGGTGAACTGCTGCGTCCAGGGGAACAGGAACCTGCTGCAGAACCCAGCACAAGTGGAAAGGGCAGAGCAGAGGGAGCAGCTGCAAACTGCAGGGCAGCAAGCAGAAGCAGCTGGTGCTCCCTGCCCAGCAGCAGAGCCCTCAGGATCCTGTAAGCTCATGACACAGCCTGGGATATGGCAGGCCAAACTGACGTCTTATTGGTGAGGAAGCTGAGACACAGAAGAGAAATGCAAACAGGTACAAGAGCACAGGGGCTGCGTATGCCACGAACACCATTTGCTGAGCCACATACTTCACATTTGCAAGCAGCAGATCAGTTCTCTGAGCCCAAATGGTTAACTGAATTTCCCATTATTTCCCATGATTTTTTCACTGAGATTTCTGGGACCCAGACTGGGGCTGGAATGACAATTCTTGGACATCTGAGCAGGCCTTTGCCAGCTGTTACCTGAGAGGATGTCAGACGTGGAATAAGTTGTACTACCAATTCAGCCTGTTACAACTGTACTGGCTCAGGTCTCCTTTGACACCTTCTGTTCTAATTGATGGATAATTTGGGAAGAGTAAATTGTTCTGAGGGAAACAAGAGAAGAAAACCCTCCCTGAATACTTGTTTCCACTCAGAATTTCGACCTGTGCAACCTCCCAGTTGCCAAACAGTGGTAATAAGAGCTCATTAAATACTGCAGTTCCTCAGCACATACCAGCATTTGTGGGCTGAGATCAAAGGGACTGAGTATCCTACACAGACAAGCATGAGAGACCCAAAACTGCTTCTGGGTTTAGGAGATGATCCAGTAAATTATCCATAAACCTTATTTCTGATGCATTCCTGACACCTCTCACAGAAAGGCATTGAGGCTGTGGGACAAACACTGCACCCACAAAGCTTGATGTGTTGGGCTGCAGAGGGTGCCTGTGGCAGACCAGGCAGGGACAGGGAGATGAAAGTGAGCAAAAGGAGGAGCAGAGCATGAAAAATAGGACAAATGACAGTGCAAGGAGTTAGAAAGCTAGCGTGACACCAGTGAAGAGACTAACAGGAAGATTCAGGACAACACACTGCCTTTAGGAGTAGCTCACAGCCAACCTGGCTTTGCTCTTCCACACTTTTATGGGTCTGTGTACCTCCCTGTCTCCCACTCTCTAGAATACCACAGCACAGAGGATTTGGGAGTCACCAGAGAGGTGCCATACTTCTGGCCTCACCCACTGAGGACTGACTGAATCCAGCATGTGACCCAAATCTCCTGCTGAAGCATTTGCTTGAAAAGCATCAGAAACATAAAGCAAGGGGGGACAGCCCAACCTTGGAACTTCTCGCATCTGTGAGTTGCTCTCAAAGCTTCAGGCCATGAATTCATTCATCAGATCTGGTTGAGAAACTCCCCTGTATCTTCTGAATTTGCCTGAGAACACCTTGGACAGGATTAAGATGCATTTAACTTGGGAGAGGTGGAAAAACATTAGTGCTTAGTTGTTAATAATCCCAGAAATCCTTCACGTGGATATGAACATATCTGAGGAATACTGTGCCTGGGAAGCCACCTGAACCGTTCTGTGTGCAGTGGCATTTCACACTGACCCCTGTGTGCATCTGAAGAACTTGCTGTTGGAACCTGCCATGTTCTTTGCTCCCCTAACCAAACTGAGCATGAGGATTCCATGAATGTTGCTCTTTGGTACCTTTTTTTCATACTAAGGTTAAATCTTTAAGAACTCCTGGTGCTCCCCTCTAAACTCCTGAGCTCCCATGGGATGAACTGAGCTGCATGCAATCACTGATGTGACTCCATGAGGTGCTGCATGCTGTGCAGAGCCCAGTCTCCAACCACGTCACAGTTTGAATGTCTGCACTACGCAGCCACGCAGTCTTACCTGGCTCTCAGCGCCCAGCAAAAAAGTGTCTTTATCTTTTGAGTGAAGCTCCTCAGCCACGTCTCCATCTGAGGTTACAGCTTCCAAAAAGTTAGACGGGACAAGCCCTCTCTGCTGGTTCAGCTCTCCCTGCAAGATCAAGACTCAGTTCCCACATCAGGTTTCCTGGCTGAGGCAGAAATAAACAGAGGAGCAGGCCCATGCAGAGAAGGCCTGAGAGAAGCCCAGGGACACACTCATGTTGGAAGCATCCTCAGGAAATTTCACAACTCACATTCTTGCTTGCTTAGTTGTGGAACAACTCAGAATGCAAAAACACAGGAGATTACAAGAAGAAAAGCTGACAGTGAGCCACAACAAATATATTCCAGGAACACAGAAACATCAAAGTTGTAAACTGTGAAGCCTATTTGCACTCTACAAGCTCAAAAAATTCCCACTGATGTCCTGGAAGCAACTGGAACATGGTTGTGCCAAAGGCTACCTAGAGGCTTTTCATTTACTCTGGTATTTTGCATATGTTTATACATTTCTAAAGAATGAAGTACTGCTGGTACAACATTCTTGTCTCTGCTCACTGACATCTCGAGCTACAAACCAAGCACGACTGTCATTCTAAAATGAATGACAGTTCATCAGCAGGTAGCTGGGTGAGACAAAACCACCCCTGCAATGTTGCTTGGACAACAGCACGAAGGAAGTCAAACAAAACATTCGCAAGACTCTCCTCTGAATTTACCCCAGTTGTGAGCCTCACCCTTTATGTGTGAATACAGACTTTTCTGTTCAGGAAAAGATGAGCTAAGGAATGTGCCTAACACACAGCTCACTGGCAGGCAGAGTCCCCAGCTATTCACAGTAAATCAAGCAGATATCAGTGTTTGCTGAAGTTGGGATGTGGTAGGACAGAGGTCAGTGTACATTTTTATCCTTGTGTTACCATTTCAGCCTCCTGCCCTAGGCAAGACCATGTGTCAGAGTCCTTGGTGACAAATCAGCTTGCAGCAGAGAGTGATGCAGCTGCTGACGTACACTGCAGGAAAATGTATTCTAGGCTTTGGGAAAGCTGCAGTCAAGTTACACCAAGAAAGAAACTCATAACCATGTGGATATTAGTTTAGAGGAGTACAGGCTGCAAGAGACAATCTGTCTGCACTGAACAGGGATGCGTTCATTTCTTCCATTAGCAAAATAATATATTTTGTCCCCTAATTTCTGCTCTCCTGCCACTAGATGGATTCCAAGGATTTCAGATGTAGCCAAAGGACCTTCCCAATCCCAGGACTTACATAGTAGAATCCATCATCATCCATGGACCCAAACACAGTGATAATGTCCCCTGCACTGAAAGTCAGTTCAGCCTGCAACGAGCAAAAGAGAACAAATGAGCAAAATGATCCAAGAGGAGCACTGCCAGAATTTCTCACCAGAAACACAAGGCCACCCTGGGCTGCTTGTACAATCTCACCACAAGTGATGATGGCCACTGTGTGAAGACTTACAGGACCAGAATTCAGCAGGACAACCAAATTAGGAAACTGGAATTCAGTGTTAAGGAAGCATTTCATAAAATAAGACAAAAACAAAGCTTCAAAATGGTTGAAAACCACTAGGTTAGGTTCAAGACCTAACATCAATTCCAGAAAGTGGCATTGAGAAAAAGCTGAACAAACATCAGGAAAAAAAAATATATATATATATATATTTTTAAACATAAACACGAAATCCTCTTCCCTTGGATGATCCTTTTCAGGATGCAATGCTCAAGGATTAGTTACTACCAGAAATGCATATGAACAGGAAGATCTAACCTGAGAACACAGAATTACTGCACAGGAGCTGTGATCTGTTGTCTGCCACTTGAGGGCAGAGTCCTTGGAGCACAAGACCGAGGTGAAAGGTACAAGTATTCTCATCTAATGGAAGACATCTCCCAGTGGCAGTGAAACAGCTGCTCTAAGATAGAAGATCTGGAGTCTCCAAATAGGCTGTGTAAAAGGCAAGTCCCATTGAAGAGACTAGCTCTACACACATGAAAGGGTTGGCTGGAAGAGACCCACTTCTAATATATTTATATTACGTAGTTCCCAGGACTCAATTTCTCTCCTGAGGCTGTAGGCGCCTACTGCTGGTTGTGAATGGCTTTGTCCTAGCAGAAAGAAGCTTCTGGAGAACTTCATTGACAACACAAAAAATTGCACAGCTGATCCCAATAGGACTTATTGCAGGATCATAAACAGCAAATCTAGTGACCAAATTCCTGATGAATCAAGTGACCAGATCTTCTGGGAGGGTGCATAGGGAGCAGCTCCAACTCTGCAATGTGGACAGGGTCTTACTGACAAGGTTTCAAAAGCAATCTTCAGCCAGATGTGTGAATACCTATGTGGATGCTGTTTAATGCATGCTCTCATTATACCTCTCCCAAGACAGCTCATCACCCCATAACACTCTGTCCTCAGAAGATTCTCTTGTTCATAAGACACCTGAACCAGGCAGCAAGCATTATCTGCACTGTGCCACCTCTTGGTCATCTGTTCTTTTTAGTATACATGGAGAGAACCTGAATTCAAGCCCCATTACCTTTGCTCAGAGTAGACTAATGCTGCTACAAAGGAAGAAAGAACAGAGCATGCTGTAATTTAGAAAGCCTTTTTTTTTTTTTCCCCACACAGTGCTCTGCAATCTTTCCACAGGAAATACTTATCCACAAAACTGCTGTCTGGATTATACCTAGAGACTGCTTGAAAAGCCACAATTTAGAGGACCAATCCATTAAACTGGAGCTAAGTCCTCTTTCTCGAACGAAGATCTACACAAATCTTTGCCTTGTCAACACAACAGATGAGCTCCAAGACTTTCACCGTAAGTATCAGAAGTCAGTTCAAACCCTTAAAGGGATTTTCCTTTTACTGCAGGATGTCCAGGGTCACTTGCTAAAAGCAGGGGCTGTTCAGTCCTGTCTGAGCACTTTCAGGACGCTGCAAGGCCCTGAGATGCTCACAGAGCTTCACAGAGATGCACACTGAAAATCATTAGGGATATGCTGCTTCGTATTTGCAGATTGCTGAACACGGTTACCTCTGACAGAGTGTATCAGCAAAGTTTACATTTTAAGACTTGTTTTAGCAGCTATATTGTCATGCTATAATCACCTTAGTTTTGATCAAAGTACTAAGTGTCTCAGAACAGGTGAAAAAAGAGTGGAAAAAGAAACCTGTCAGAGGACTGAGCAGTTGCTGGTTACCTCTGCATCTGCATTTGGCGAGCTCTCCTTAGGGTTGTAGTCGAAGACAGCCACCATACTTCGAGGAGTCAGCAGTTCAGCTTCAAAGTCCTGATGCTTCTGTCCTGTAGGACAAAAACATAACAAGATTTACTGAGCTGTAAGTTAAAAGAACATTCCAAACCGTAGCAACTCCTTCACCGTTACTGGGAGTGAATTGAGTAGAAGTAATACAAAGGGGAAACTGAATGGGCAAGAGATCTTAAAGGCCCCAGAGATATCTGGTAAAACAGTCTTCTGCTCTCCTCCATCCCTTTACAATCACAGAACTGGTGACACCCTGCAATCCACTGTCCTGGTATCCTGTCTATATATACAGGAATGTTTCTTTTCATGTATTTTATTTTCTATTTTAACACGCACACTCAACACTGTGTCAAATGGACATTTCTCACCCCTCCACATAATGCTTTGCTGCTGAGCTACAAAACTGGTTTTCTGTGCGCCCATCCACACCAGCACAGAGCTCAGCACCAAGGGAAGGCAGGCCTCACAGCTCAGACATCGCAGTGCATTTCTACAACCTCCTGCTTGCCTGCTTGCTCAGCCCCATTTCTTCTTCTAGACTTATTCTGCAAAAACAAAGTCTGGCACCACAGAAAAGATAAACTGTTCACTTCTTCATCTTATGGATTTACACCCTGCTTCAGGTAGACACTGGGTGGCTTAGTAATGGGTTTGCAGGCGTGACATCAACAAATCTCAATACGCCACAGCAGGGTTAGAATCCCCTCAAGAGACACTGGATTTTAGGCACAGCAGCACCAGATGAGTAAGCAAAACCTTTACCTTCTAACACTCCCTGGTTAGTCAAAGGTCACTTCACTCACTACTAAAGAACTAAAGCTCTTCCTTCCTGAGAATGCCCATTTTCTTACAGTGCTCTAAAGGATGAAAAAGGGACTTGGATTCACACTTGGCCACAAAACTTGCATCTGCTCATATGATCATATGTTAGCAACACAGCATTCCTCTTCTCATGGTAATAAAGAGCAGTTCTCACCTGGATGAGACTTGTACTTCTCCTGTTTATCTAGTTCTGTTGGGGAGGAAAAAAAAAGTATCCAGTCAATGGACGTCCATCTTTCAATAGTGTCCACACCACACAACTGACAAACAACAATAAAAAGAACAAAGATCACAGCAGCAAACAATAGAAGCAAACTGTTCATGCAACTCAAAGCCTAAGCCAGTAACCATGACTCAGGGACGTAATAAGACGCAGAGGTCAAGCTCCAAAACTATAAAAGACATCACTGTTGTTAAAAACTTAACACCAGCAGGGATGGGCTCTCTTTCCACTTCCTAGCAGTCGTACAGAGACAAACATCTGAGGGTCCTGTAAGCAAGTAGTACAAATTCAATGCAGTCTGTAATCCTATTGCAAAAAATCAAAGAGGAAGCAGTGGGTGACACAGACCTTTCTTGGAGCGTCTGGGTTTTGGAGGAGGGACGGTTTGGCGGCGTGGAGGTGGAGAAAATGTGCCATTTCCTTAATAAAAATCCAAAAAAGCAAATAAATAGACAAGAGAAACAGACAGTGAATGGAAAGTGAAAAGCATCTTGAAGAGCGAACAGGCAACAGAGTGGCACGACACGCTTCCCCTGGGAAGCAGACACCAAGACTTCTGTGCACAGAGCCTCAGTCTCCATTTACCATATGTGGACTCAGATGAAGCATGATCCACATGCTAAGTACACAGAGAAATCCACACTGCATTTTTGCCCACTAATGTTATCGCAGTACACAGCAGACAAACTTCACTTTGCAGCTTTGCTGCATTTTATCTTTCAGAGGGAGCATCACAAGGATAAAATAAAGCCTTTGTACCATCAATACCTGGAAAAAGCCAAGTGAGGGGCATCCCATCAGCTCAGGTGCAAAGGGACTTTGAGCTGGAGCTAAAACTTCTGCACAGAGCAGGGTCAGTCCTGCCTTTGGACCAGGCTGCTCAAATCTCTTCTCACTGGGTCTCTTCTCCTGGCTAACGAAGCCACGCTCCCTCAGCCTCTCAGTGCAAACCGTTCAAACAAATCCACTGCCCCTGCAAACTGTGTGGCTCTTCAATGCTTGAAAATGTCCCTTGAAGTTCCACAAGAGCGAAAAGAGGATTTCTGGAGAAGTCAGTATATGCATTCCTTCCCTAGCTGAGCCTGCAGGAGCTCCAGACCAACCACTCCAAGGCCCTCCCTTACTTACAAGGCAGCAGGAAAACAAGAGGCACATACAGCCCAGCTGCCTAAAGAAACAAGATCTGGTTTTTGTGCTCACACTGCTGTGAGGCGTGTTTCTCACTACCACTGCACTTCAGAAAGCACTCAAATCCATTGTTTCTGCAGTCTCAGAGCTACTGAGGTTTTTATTCTGAGAACATGCAGGGTGAGGGACAGGGAGCCCTGTACATCCACACGGAACAAAGGCCACCACAGACATCTGGCCACCTCTGAGCACCAGAAGATACACTCAAGAAATGCACTACAAATGTTCTGAGTGTGAGAAAAGCCTTACTAAAATCTCTGCTCCCTCCAGACGTGAGAGGGGCTGCGAGTCACAAACCTATCAAAAAGCATTCAGCCACAAGATGAAAGGTAGAAAGGTAGACTGTGTGCCTCAGGACTCACAGGACCCTCAGGACATGACACCACTATTGCAGATTCTGTCACTCAAGCAGGGCCACCCCTGCAGGCTCAATTACAAACTTGCAAAAGAAGGGACAGCACAGAAGTCAGAACTGTGCATTGAGACTCTGGGGGCAAGCCCTAGGGATTATTTGGGTGGGCTGCATCAGCTGCAAAGCTTGAGAGAGTGACTGAGCTTTCCACTTTCAAAGCCAGCACAGCACACACATTAAGAAGATACAGTACCTATGCTGTCCGTTGGTGGGTCAGCAGGAAGAAACCCTTGCTTTAGGAGCTGCATCTTGATTTCATTATTCTCCACCTGGACTTCAGATACCATGTTACAGGGTATGTATCCCTCTCTTCCTGCACATTCACCCCTGTAGAAGCCATCAGCATCCTTGTCTCCGCACACCTGCGAGGCAAAAGATAGGCCAAGGACTGTTGATGCTGCAGGGACCAAGACAGAAAGCAAAAGGAGAAAGGGAATCCAAAAAACTCCCAAGATGAGGGGGCTCTGCCTCCCAAGGTTTATGCTGTCCTTGGAACAAGAAATGGATCCATATGGAGCAGAAGATGTTCACCAAGGTCTGCTCCTACCTTCAGGATCTGCCCCTCCTTAAATGGGAGCTCCTCTTCTGCCGCATCAGGGTTAGGAGACATGGAAACAGGATCGTAATCAAACAGGGCCACAAATATTCTTATGCCATCATCTTTAACCGTGGTTTCTGAAGCAGAGCTCCTTGGAGGACCTAGGCACAGTCAGGGGACACACCAGAGAAAATGTCAGCACCACTTCCCTGCCACAGACCCGCATGGCTCAAGTACTGCCCAGCAGTCCCCCTATGCAATTTCCAGCAGCCTCTCTTGCTGCCAATTCTCCCCTCCTTCCCCACTCACCTGGACTGGAAAGCAAAGGCTTCTGCATTTGGCATCTTCTTAAGCTCCTGCTCCCTCTTCTGCTGGGAGTCTGCCAGGTAGCTGAGCCAGGCAGCTCCTGGCCCCTAGGATCTTTATTACCAGATGCCTGCAATAGGAACCACCAGAGAGTTAGTAGCAGCCTCTGCCTTCCAACTCATGTGAACAGCGCTCAGCCCAAACGCACTCCACAAAGAGCAGTGCATCCAAATGCAACATTCCTCTTCAGGGACACTCGAGAGCTGAAAATGCTATGGGAGTTGGAAAAGAGAGCTAAATGCAGACAGGCACCCTGCCTGACAGTGATGTGAGGATGCAGGAAAGGGCATTTCAAGGGAAGGCAATGACATTACAGTCATCAACTACAGAAAGCTTTCATGAATCAGCTTATTTCACCAGGGATTCTCATTTGGGTCCCACAGTCTCTTGCTGTAGGTGGGAAGACCCAGTGTGAAAAGGAATACTGCATCGGTGACACTTGATCATTTGGCAGGAAAAGCAGAAGCAGCTAATACAAGAAAAGCCACGGAGCAGCACAGAACTACACAATCTCCCAGATATTCTTCCGGATGATCCTAGAGAAGGGTCCTTTCTCTGGACAACACTGAACAAAGCAAGATACAGGCAGGCCAGGGAAGCAGAAGGGAAGCTAACACCACTGCAAGCTGCTTCAAAGCCAGAATAGGAAAAGTCACCCAACCCTTTTGTGCAAGGAGGTGCTACGTATCCCCTTCCAAGGATGTTCGAGCCTCCTTCTCCAGCCAGGTGACTTACAGTCCTGCTCCCAGCCTTGCTCCTCAGAGCTGCTCTCACACCTCAGTGCTTCCTTCTCCTGGCAGAAGGATCGCAGCCGCCAGCTTGGAGACCCAGCCCACTCCATACCCTGCTCTTCTACTCTCTCCAGTCTGGTCAGGTTCCTTCTGCCATCTGTGTGGATAACTTCAGATTGACTGGAGCAATCGCTCCATTCCCCCTGACAGTTCTGGGCCCCTTCTGGCCACAGCCTGCTCTCAGGAGGGGATGAACAGGTCGAATCCTGATCGTCTTCAGAGTCATACTCAATGTCTATTTCCAGGCTCCCGGAGCTGGAGCAGCGTGCTGCCATCCCAGCAGGTTCTGCAAACCCTGAAACCACTGTTTTCCCATAGTTTCTTCGAGAGGCGCTTTGCCTAGCACGAGTGTATGCATCAAACCCCTCCTTACCAGCAGAGCTGCTCACAATGTTCAGCTCCTCCTGGAGGCTGGGAGCTCTGTACAACCCGCCTCCCATCTGGCTGCAGTTGCCCAGCAGACGACTGCAGTGCTCTGTGGAATCATTCTGTCTCTTCCTACCCATCTCAGGTCGACCCCGCATCTTCTCTCGATAGTTATTTCCCTTCTTCTTGCTCCGAGTGGGGCTTTCCCCACTCTCGGACTTCAGATCATTCTGTTGGTAGCCCCAGTTCCAGTTTGCCCTTTTCTGACTCCAGCTGGGGCTCATGTGGTCAGCACTCCCTCTACTCTCCTTAGCAGTCTGCTCCTCCCGTGCAGTCTGAGCAGACGGATCGGGGGAGGAATCACTACCATCTGCCTTTGGAAATGGATCCTGGGTGCTTAGTGGTTTCTCAGACCTTTCTGCAATGTACGTAGGTGCTTCCAAGGAGCCTTGAGGATTTTCCTTTTCCTCTGTAACACACTTCTCATCCTCATCTTCATCCTCATCCTCATCCTCATCCTCATCCTCATCCTCATCCTCATCCTCAGTCACTTCAGGGATGCTAAACAATTTCTTGCTGTGGTTCTTCTGAAGTGGGAGCTCTAGTATCCTTTCCAGAATCTCCTCATCGCTGTCAGTATCACAAAGATCCATCTGTACCCAGCCCCCGAGAAAAGCCACAGCCAGGACAAGCAAAGGAAAAAAAGAGAGGAAATATGCATTAAAAAGAGAGATAAAGTTACAGGTGATTCCCTCCCAGCACAGCGATATGGAGCGGCGACTGTGGGCTGCAGAGAAGCAAGGGTAGGAAGCAAACGATAGCAATGGGTCTTCTGGCAAAAGACAATCAGATGAACTAGCAATGCAGTGGGAAGCAAGAAAGGCCAATGCATGGAAGAGCTCCCTCCCAGGCCCTGCCTCCACACAGACAGCTGTCTGCAACACCCTTCGTCCTGCCTGCTGGAACCCCCACAGCTCCACCACTCCCAGTGTGGTTGGGGGACAGGAGCTGAACAGTTCCTCTGCAGCTGCTCATTGCACATTGGAGCTGCTCAGTGTCCAGGAACCTCTCTGCACACACACTCACAGCCTGTGACCACAAGAGGACCCACAGTCCTCCCCTATCTCTCCGTCCTCACAATGGAACGTAAGGAAATGACCCTGCACAGCAAAATCCTGTAGCTCCAGGGAGACATGCATGCTTCTGTCTCACTTGAAAGCTTGGAAAGAGCCTACCAGGTCACAAAAACCTTTTGGAAAAACACTACTGAATTTTAAAATTTGTTCCAAAAAACTGTCTATGTTATGTTTTGCCTCCTACTACCTTTATACTAAAATAAAAAGGTAGAATCCTAGAAACAGAGCATAATTTAGGCTAGAAGAGATCTGGAGGTTTGTATTCCAACCTTCCTAACAATTTACATCATGATATGTTCTAAAAACATTTACAGGTTACAAAACTTATGTAGCTACTGATGCTTTAAGCTACAGCCATGAGGATGCCAACACACAGAGAACTAAAAACTGAACCACAGAGGGAGAAAAAGGTAGTTGTAAGCTGTCTGATGATCACTCCATCCTCCATAACTTTTTCCAAACAAAAGCTGGTCTTGAGTTGTATTTAGGAAGAGTTAGAAGTGACCTCTGGAGATCTCTAGTTGAATCTCCTGCAAGGGCAGGACTGCATTATGTGCAATCTACTTGGCAGCACGACTTTTGCCAACACTAAAGCAGTGTAAAGTTGTGTAGCTGAGGATTGAAAATGCCAAAGAACAGAGCTCCTCCACCTCTGACCCACGAGATCTGTCCCCAGGTTGCAACTCTCACCTGGGAAAAGATTCTGTACTTCTGTCCAACATGAACCACACTGCAACTTGTGGCTGTTGCCTGTTTCTGTACTATTTGCCACCAACAAGAAGACTTTGGCACTCTTCTCCTTGTAAGCATCTTTCAAATAGTTGCAGGCAGCTACTGGATCTCCTCATTGCCAGACCAGTTTTGGGAAGCTTCCGAACACTCTCCCCACAGGACATGCACTCTAGATTCCACCTCTTAAGCACTTGTTAGCAGCAATTATTAATACACAAATTCACAAATGCAACCATAAAAATCAGACCAGTAACACTTATTTTAGCCATTTATGGAGTTGTGGCCTTTGCTTTTGAGTTTTGGTACATTAAAATAGGGAGTTGAAGCTGAAGCTGTGTAAATGTAAAGAAGTGAAAGAAAGACAATGAAATTCTATAACATGAGAAGGATCTGGGACTCCATAGTCCATTAATAATCCAGAAGAAAGCTAAATAATCTATTAGAGGTCAAACATATATAATCTATAATCAGAGCCCCTCCATTCCTTATCCTACAAATCCTAAAAGAGTTGGCTGAGGAGACCCCAAAATAAGCCAGAATGTTACTGAGCATGCAGAAGCCCAGGAAACTGCTCTGCTGAGGCTCGGCTGAACTTCTGCCATCATCTTCTCCCACACCACAGAGCAGTGAATGGAACCTGTGCCTCGTGGTTCGCTACCAGGCTCTCCTCAAGCTCCTGACATGCTGCCCTGCAGCTCCAACCTCCCCAACCCACCCTCAAGAAGGGGAAAAAGAGCAGCAGCAAATTTACTCCAGATTCATCACACATTCTGCTACTGACTATTTAATGCTCACCAGATCCACTCCATCTGTGTTGCAGGCTATGAGCTATAAAGGTCAGCAGCAGTGAACTACATCTGTTCTACATAAATTAGGACACATTCTTTCAATAAAGGCAGATTACATTTCCTTCAAATCTTTCTAATTTCTCAGCCATTCACCCTTCATAATTTCCCTCATGCATACTCATTTCAACTGTCATAATTTGTATGATTACATCCTACTTTCCAGTCATGCAGATTTAAGCACGTTTCCTGATGCAGATGCATTGTAACACTCTAACTCGTTTTAACTGTTTGAACTTGTATATGTGTAAATCTCTCATGGTTCCACTTCAGCAGTCCTTTCTCACTTGTAACATCTGAACTGCAAAGTCATGGCACTGTTCCCATGTGCAATCCACCCTCATTGAGAGCACGAAGATCTAAACAAAACCATCTGAACAAAGCTATTCATGTTCAGGAGTGTTTGTAGGACTGAAACCAAAGCATTAATGCCTCTGCTTTGCCTTTGGAAGGATGGTGGACTGGGACGCGGGCAGACTTCACAAACTCCTGTGCGCTCACTGTTTACATCTATATTAAGAACATGATCAATAGGATTGATTTTTCACCCTGGGTTCTAAAGTTCACATTACACTGTGTGTTTTTCCAACTAATTAAACCCTGAGTACATTTACTACTTACAAACACCCGCCGCTCTCACACAGAACTTGCATTTTACTAGAGTAAGACAACACTGAGAATAAAAGAAGAGCAGGCAGGAATTGAGCCAAGCACTGCTGAGAGAGCTGGGCTCAAAGCAGCCTCTTCTGTGAGCTGATGACATGGGATGGCTGCACTGGCATTCCCCACAAGCATAACTCTGCTACAGGTTACCTTCTCCCCATTCTCCCTGTAACAGGGCTCTCTTGGATCCCATTTCTTCTCATCCAGAGCTTCTGAAGACAGTTCATCTTCCTCTTCCTCCTCCAATATATCTGAAAGGTCTGAACTACGGTTGTGCTCAGCAGAAAGAGTCAGCTGTCGTCTTCCTATTTCAGACATTTTTTCTTCTTGCTGTGGAAAAGCAAAGCAGACTTCTTTCAGGCACCCTGTCTATTTGAGCGTTCATTCACTAGTACATGTGCAGGTCAAGTGTGGCAAGAAACAAAATGAACAGCACTCCGTGCAGCAACTGGCACATGCACACACAAACACGTGCACAGACACACAAAACTGACGGACACATTCTGTTGCCTGCAAAGAAAAGTTTCACTTGAAACTGCAAAACTTAGGCACATCAAATACAATCCACATCCCCTCCATTGGCAGAAATTTATCCAAGGTAAAAACAAACCTCTCTTTTCACTCTGGACATTTCTTTCATCACCTCCTTGCTAGGTGATAACCTCAGGAACTCCTGGCAGCTGCTTCCAGCCATGTTTGCCTCTTGGGAGGTGCCCTCCATCTCCTCAGCCAGGTCGGGGGAGGGCAGGGGCTCTGGGCTCAAGTTCTTCTCCTTTGCTTCTGTCTCTCTTTCAGCACTGGGACTTTTTGGTGACTCCACAGAGCACGTATGGCAGGTCTCCATGCGTATCTTCAGGCTACCGTTAGTTGGGCTTTCTAGCTCTGGCATTTTGGTTATGTTTTGCTCCAGCTGGGAAACAAACAAACAAAATTCATCACCAGGATAACCACAGCACCTGTTGCAGGACCATTCCTGAGCCTCCAGGTGCACGCTCTATTTCCGTTCCTCTGCAAAGGACCATTAAGGACAGTTTGAGATGTTCTTGGTGTCTATACCAGCAGCCCAGAAGCCAACGACAGCAGTCTGTGGCTATCCTTCCCCCCAGCCCCTTCTTGTCAAGGAGCAAAGAAACTCAGAGGAGGCACCATCCAATATTTGTGAGCCAAAAGGGCCTTCAACTCCCAAACTGTCATTTCTCACCACGTGTTCTGTGTCAGTGTAGGAGGATCCTGGCAGTCAACTGGTAGCCTGAAAGGCTGGCCAGCTCTGAACTAACTCCTCCCTACCATTAACTGCAAGTGGACACAGGGCACTTCTGCTATAGCACTCTGCTTTGCACACTGCACAGCCCTGCACAGTTTTACAGCAGCAAGAGCAAGATGAGTCCAACCTACACAACCAGGCCATTTCTCATTCTCTCATTCCAGAGGAACATCTTAAGAACCAGCTTACAGCATAGCTTGAGCTGGAGGTGAGGGCACTACCCCAGCTCTTCTTGGGGCTTCTGGGTGCTGTGAAGAAGAATATACACAGAGAGTACAACGGTGTACTAACAGCACAGTAGTTAGGTCACTTACTTAAATTACAGAGATTTTAAATCTTGCCCAATAGTTGTTTCTGCCTTTTATGACCAGTCATCTTAGTCTGATTTTTAGGGAAATCTCTGGGAGATGGAGGAGTGAACCCCCAAAAATGATGAGAGTAAGGCAGATGGGCTTTCATCAGTCACCTCCTTTGCTAGCTAGTTATCTAAAAGACAGCTGCACTGCAACGGAGTGCAACTGTGGCTTAGGCATACTAAGGCATACTTTGAAGATGTCTACACAGACTTCTGAGGAGATTTACACTGCAGCTTCAAAATGTCCCCTGGACTCAGGCCAAAGTTAGGCAGGCCTGGACCTCATATTTAACCTACCAGGTAGACTCCTATTGCCCTGCTTCCCTTTGTTAACAGCTGAATGAAGACAGACATCTCAAGCAACAAAGATGATTTGTGTCTCTGAAGCACCAATTTCGTTCTTCTGACTACAAAGGAGAGAAAGCAACTCAGTCATGTGCAGCCATCTACACCAGACATCTAAATGTGGGCAAATGAATCAAAACGACTGACTTGTGGTGCCAGAGCAGCAAATGAGTGGGGAATGGAAAATGACAGCTGTAATTTTTGATTCGATGTCTCAATTTTATTAAGTATTTATGTGGTCTTTGATCTCGGGCCCACACAGCTGCTGATGCTTAAGCAGTTAAAAAAGTCTTCCTCCCTTCTACCCAGCTCTGAGCTCACACTGCCTTCATTAACAGTCTTGCTGAATTTGATGGTCCGAAGCACTTTTGTGAGCCTCTAGTCAGCATGAAAGGTGAGAATAGGGAAAAGATAACTTTCCCTGATATAACACCTCACATAGCAACAGGACCTACTTCCCTCTCGTCACAGAATGAGCACCTTACAGACAGTTCACCTCTTTTCTCAAAGACCTCCCAGACACTTCTCACCACCATCTTAAAAAAGCCTTGAAATCACCCATCTACCCCAGAGGCTTTCAAATGCCCAATGTCATGACAGCTTGCCAACTCTCCTCCAGACAAGGCTAGGCAGCCACTAAGGTGTCCCCATTTGCTGGAGTGTTTGCTCTGCAATGCCCAAATTCACCAGACTGGAGATGATTCCTGCAAGTCAAAGACCACAGCAATGCCAAATCAACACTGACATCACCATTAGTGAGAAGATCCCTTTCAGCACCCAGCCCAGAGGAGTTCATGCTTTCCTGATTCTGTTCCTGCCCTGCCTGTACACATGTGACCAAGCACTGAGATTCAACTTCTCTTTCACATATACAACACTCTGCCGGTTTGCCAGCCACTGGATGGCTGCACGCTAGCAGCTTGCTGTTACATTCCCCTAAATGATTCATTCTCCTTCCCAGCAGTACTGGGCAGGAGACGTCATGTACTTACCAGCACTTCTGTCCCTTCACCCAGGCTTTCTAATTCTGCTTCCCTCGAGGAGACAGGCTCTGTGCCCTCACCCAGGAGTTTTGTGCTGCCTGCTTGCTGAGGAGGCACAGTCAGGCATTTCTTGTCTTGTGCAGCATCTGATCCCAGCAGGGAAGTGCCTGAGGTGTGCACCAAGGGAGCGCTGGACAAAGAGAGCTGCAGCAGCGAAGAGGCTTTCTCTGGCAGAGATCGTGCTGAGCCATCGTGGCTGGAGGAGAGATCAGTCAATTTGGCATCTGAGCTACCAGTGGGGACTTTTTGTTGAAGCAGGAGAGCAGCCATGTGGTGCGTGGGTGGGCTGCGTGCAGGCAGAGAGCCCTTGGATTCCCCACAGGGCAGTCTAGAGGTAAAAGTAGTAGAACCAGCAGAATCTGAAGGTGAAGAACAATGAGAGGCTCTCAGCAAGACTGAGGAAATCTGGGCTGGAACTGAATCCACTGATTCTCCATACGGGGACATTGTTCTCACAGAAACCTCCCGGCACGCCTGGAACATCTGAAGCTGGGACAGGTCCACAAGGACACTCCCGGCCGTTGGAGAAGTAACTTCTATTGCCTGCAAGCAAAGAAGCAAGAAGCAGTTAATTACAGTGTGCAGCTCAGTATTTCTGAGAAGGGCAGTTCTTGAACCCAAAGTTAGCTAAAGCTGTTTCCACCCTTCTGCACAGTAACAACACAGAATGAATGGTAAAGAGAAATTGCTGCTGTTACTATCTGAGAAACTGGATAGTCTATAAAGTAAGAGTATCTTCTCTTCTGCTCCAGGTGTAAACCATTTTTGTTCACTGCACTTTCGAAGGCCACCTTTTTTTTTTTTGCCTCTTTTTCACTCTGGCAGAACTTTTCCATATTTGTTTTTTTGACGCATGCTATGGAAGAATTTCCATGACAAACAGCAGTCATCCAACACAGCACCGCTCCGTTCAGTGCTGTGCTCCTTTCAGGAGCTGTGGTTTACCTCCCCCATGGCTGATGGCACATCATCATGCACACATAAAACTGCAGGCCACCTGCAATACAGAAAATCCTTGGAAGTTCTTTATTGGTATTCATATTGGGTGTTTGGGCATCTCTCCCTTCACCTATTCCTAATTTAAAGAACTACACCTCACTCCTCAGTTTGAGACAAGTCCCAAGCGCTGCCAAGGCTGTCTGCTTCTCTCTACCCATCCTACAGAAGTTATAACTCACTGTGACACCCAGCAGTGCTCTTTGTGGATTCTCACTGTTATCACTCTGAAACAGTCAGAACGTGTGTTCCCCACAAACCCACTGCTTCCCCAAGAATCCAGCCAGTGCCCAGAGTGAGACAGAGGAGGCACACACTGATTCTCCAGTTTTGCTGGTGAAGGGTCCTGCCACAGAAACTTTTATTGTTCAGTTACATCAAGAGCACATCAGCAATCTTGACAGATGCCTTTTTCTGGTAGGCATCAGCCAAAAAAACCCACCAGCCCAAGAACTGTACCTTTTCTGATATCGTTCCCCTCACCTTCTGTCCATCCGCATACACAGCGTAACCGGTGACTCGAACTCCGTTGGAAGATCCTTCAGCATCAATAGTGACAGGTAACCAGCTGATAACAAGGATTCCTGGAGAGGGACCAACTTCTACCTGGACATCCAGAGGAGCATCAGGTGTGCCTGGGAAGGATCAAAAGGATCGTTTTCTTGCTTACCTCACTACAGCATCACAACAAGCTAAACCCCGGTTTGTATCTAAGAGAAAACTCTCACACCAGACCTGCCGCTGCAGAACTGCACTGGAATGACTACACTGGCTTCTTGGGAAGTGACAGACAAAAACAGAACAAGTAAGGTGCTCTGACTCTGGGAAAGCTTTAAAGCACAGAAAACAAAACTTTGCAAAAGTAGCTGAGGCCAAGATGCAGCAACCCTTAGAGCAACATGAGTGCAGGTCACAGCAAACCAGACTGTTCATACCCTGAGAGGCATGCTGCTCAAATCAGCAAAGGGGAGGTCTCTCAAGAGCAGATGAAAACAGAAGAGATAATAAACTCTTAAAACAAAAGAAGTATTAAGACAAAACAGGATACCTCCTCACGCTCTGGGACCTGACAAGCTTTGCTTCCGTTCACCCCAAGGCTTTACACCAAAGAACTGGCAAAGCTTTCTGTCCCAAGCACTCCCTTCACAATTGCAATGGGCACAACTACTCTGATACCTGCTAGTGGGGTAGTGAAGTGTATCACAGCTGAGTTCTGCTCCTGCCCCTCTGAGACCTCTTCCCACAGTGCTCTCAAGGGACGGGCCACCAGCTTGGCAACATACTGAGTGTTGGGCTGCAGGTTGCAGAAGGTGTACCAGTAGACCCCTGGTTTTGTTATGTCACACTCCTCCCCATTCAGATACACTGCGTGGTTGTAATTGCTGTTGCAGGGAAGCCACGTGACCTCTGCTGACGTGGCAGTGACGCTTCTGACTTTCAGCACAGTCGGTGCCACACACAGATCTTGCCCCACAAAGAAAGTGCATCGCAGTTTATCAGAACTGCCCTTCTCTGTCACACTCTGCACAGACACACGGTAAGCCTTTGTCTTTAAATCCAGCTTTTCAATCACTGCTTTGGTCTGAAAGCCACTCTTCACATTTTGACGTAGCTCTTCATCCACATAGATATTGTAGCTCTGTATGTCTGGGCAGCCAGCAGGCAACAGCGGTGGTTCCCAGCCTACAACTACGCTTCTGGCAAGCTGCTTGATGAGAGTCAGTTTTCTCGGGTAAGGCACTGCTGTGTGACTAACACGTTCCTCCCGGTCTCCTTCTGCTCTACTGACCAACGGACTGATGCTACTCTCTTCAATGGAGAAATCACTCTTATCTCCACTGCTGGTGCTTGCACTGACAAAACTTTTCTCCTGGTATGAACTATGGGTGAGATCATTCAGCTCCGAAGGCAGAACCGTCATGAGGTCATCATCTGAAACTCGCTCAACAAAATTGGAGGGGACCAGCCCTCGCCGGCCATCCATCAGCTCCCCTAAACAAAAAACAGGAAACCTGTTACCACTGCACCTACCATTCAATCTTCCAACCCATCTGTGAAGACAACCTGACAACATCTATACTAGGTCATAACTGCACTGCAGTCAGGAACAAAGAAAGCTCTGGGAGGTTATCCTGGGCAACTTTACTCCATTTCCTAGAGCTGCTCTACTTATATCCTGATGTCCACTGAGAAAACTCACTGCTCTACACACTTCACAGTGAGCTAACCAGAAAGTGTTTTACGTAATTAGCTTCATGTTTTTCCCTTGTTTATTATTCTGTTGTTTCTGATCACAGCTCTTTTACTAACTTCAATGTCTTTTTTTCTAGTTTTCCCAAACTATGCACATTGTACATCTTCTCCCAGCCAAACATATTTAGTTTTCACAGTAATTCCTTGTGAAAGTCCAACTTTCCAGCTGCGTATTCAGACCTGGCTCCATTGTTATATCAGCTTATGTAATAAAGATGTCCCAAAAAGACCCACTGGGATGACTGAGAGCACAATATTGATACGTGCAAGAACCATCAAATCAGTGTCAAATGAGCAGTGTGTAGGGGTTGTACATAATTTCACATTCTACCTACAGCAAATCAATTGGAAGCAGGGAAAGCAGAAAAGATTAGTAAAGAATAACCTGTTTATTCTTTAAACAATAAATAAACAAACAAATGAGAAGCTTGGAAATAGAAGGAATGAAAGAGCCAGAACAGTCAAGGAGCAAGCAGTGCAACATGGCATGCATTTGCCTCAGCTCTTGCAAAGCACCTGAGTAAATCAGGACCCTACATCTACAAGGAAACTTCATTACAGATTTACAGTCCAGATTTCCTGCTTTCCATTCCATCTGCCTAATAATCACCTGAGATCGTGTTTTCAAAAGAAAATATGTCAAAAGAGAAACTTGCTGCCAAATGCCAAACAGGACAAAGACTGTGGTTTGGGCTGCTTAGCTTACTCCTTACTTGCCAAAAAGAGTACAAAGTAATCAAGACTATCAGTTGCCCACGGTGCTGGGTTCAATATGCAGCCACTGGGAAGAGGGTAAGAGACTACCTGGAGAAGGAATCCATGGGCTATCCTTGGACAGGGAGGAACAACACGCAGATGAAACCTGGAACTCTGTTGAAAGTAGTGGCAAAACTGCCACTGAATTCACCAGACCAGGATTTCATGCTTTAGGCTTAAATTAATCATGACACGAATCAACTCTTCTAACAGGTCCTGCTCTCCTCTCTATTAAACTAACTTTGGACGAAAAACATTTATCTTGAGGTTTCAGGATTCACTAAATTCCTCTCGTTTTTTTCTTTTTAAGAGAGCAAATCTGCACTGCAGTTCAGTCACATTCCTTTTCCACTAGAACACACCTTCAAAGAAGCCATCTTCATCCATGTCTCCATAGATGTAAATGTACTCTCCAGCAGTTAGTGGAAGCTCTGCCTCTGGATTTTCATTAGGTCCATCGAAAGGATTGTAGCTGAAATAGTTACAACATGAAAACTCACTTCATACACCAGTTTTCACAGCAACACCTTCAAGCTGTGCTGCTGGATCAGCTTACAGCTCAGCAGCAAATTCCACAAAGGTCAAGGCTTCAGTTCAGTGTGTTTGTATATAACTAACACCACACTGCTCCGTGTCCAAACAGCAGGTAGGAATGCTTTTCAGAGTAGCAGAACAGATGTCTTGAGACATCTGAAAGAACAGATCAGAGCGACTCAAGTAAGTGTTTTAACGACGTATGAACTACCTGAGTGCCTGAATGTGTCAAGTAAGCTGTAGGATTGTGCATTTCTAATTAGACATCCTTGGATTCCCTTGCATCTCTTAAATGCACACATCACCCCACATTTCTGGCAAATCAGAGCTTTGAATCGAAGTGCCAAAAGCACATAGAACATACTTCATGCACCACAAAGAATCTCAAAATTCCCATATTTAAAACCCTAAGAATGAGTTGATTTGTGCAAGAAGAATGTTTGTGTATGAATGAAGAAAACATTTGCTGCCTTTTACTTTCTAATTATCCAGTTCTTTGCCTTCAAGTTATACAACTCCACACTCTACATGGCAGTCCAGAAATACACTGAAGTGGTAAATAAGTACGTTGGTGATAGGTGGCAGGCTCCAGGTAGCTCTAAGTCACCTACCCACAGGTCCTTGAGCTGATCAGGAGGACTTTTAGAGGAAAGAGTCGCATGAGAAATCTTGTATGCACCTACTGCCCACACCTGTTGTTTAGTCCTTAGAAGGGCTTTCAGCATGCCAAAGAAATGCTATCCTGTCTAAGCTGAGTGAGACTTTACGGGCCTAAAAGCAGCACATGAAGACAAAGATCATATTTGATCTGCTCCTAAAAAAGAATCATCCCACTTCCTCCCAGTCCACAGACTAAAAGCTGAATGACATGGCAGTATTCTAGGAACTGTAGAAGAGGATTTGATTTGACCACAGCAGCTCAACAGATAAGCAACAGTGATCTGCAAACTCTGGCTTCATTCTTTGCTTCTTTGTTACTACATTCTTTAACAATCAACACGGATTTCAGCCAAAAGCTTAGATTTGGGAATTCCGTGCTGATGTTTTCCTAATTGGAATAAGATTTCCTTGGAGAAAACTATTAATCCAGCAGAAATCAAACCAGGGAATGGATCAGTTCAAATCTCTGTTTTCTATCCAATACTATTTTCGTAAGAAAAGTTGCAGCCAGTGCTGTGCCTTGAGTAGCTAATTATCTTGCTATGTTTTTGTTGAGTTATACGCACAGGATTTGCTTATGTAGGAAATAGAAGCCACAAAAAAAAACCCCAACCTAACAGCAGAGCAGTTAATGCCACAGAACAAAATAACTTGCCTAACCTCAGGGAGCACAAGAGATGACATGATACCTGTATCGAGCCAAGAAGACCTGGAGCTTCGCAGGGCCTTGGCTGCCTGGCTCTGGCATCAGAGAGATGCTGTCAACATCCAGTTCTTCCATTTCACTTGCAGTGTCCACCTGAAATTATAAAATGAAAGATGAAGGGTAAGACATGGCCAAAACCAGAATAAAGGAACACTCAAAGAGTTCCAACAGCAGTGAACAAATCCTCTAAGCTGATGGAGGAGGAGAATTTGGCCACTTGGATAAGGGCTGTCTGGAACTATCATTTTTAGAGTGAAAAAGCAGTACCAAGAAACACAGCTCCAAGCTGCAATTTCAACAGTTCCAGGTGAACATTAGCAAAAGCTATTCACTCAAGAAGGTAATGCAACCTTGATGTCCATAGAGCTGGGTGATCTCAGCTAAATAAAGCCATGGTCACACTGAGGCAGTGCTGGTGGCAGACCCCATGGGAGTGGGAAACCAGACTTGGGATTCTCAAAAGCCCCCTTCACCCTACATATCTGCAGTGCAGTATAATCACTTCCTGCCAGATCCAAGTCTTGTATGAAATATAAATGGTAATCTGAACAGAGGCAAAATGACAGTTGTATCCGATCTCTGCCATTCAGTCAGTCCCCTGTAGCACCTGTATATGCTTCAGTATAACATTTATGTACTTTCAGAACACCAAAGTGCCCTACCAGCTCAGGCCAAAGCTCTACCTAGTCCAAACACCCGGCTCTGATAACAGTAAGTTGTACATACAGAAGGAAAGCATACAAGAGGCAGAGCAAGCATGCAGTTCTCATCTTTTTGTGCAGCCTCTCAGTTGCTAGCAGTGACCTACAGAAGAACTTCCAAAGCTGGGTCTGTACCATGAATGTTATTGCCAGAAGAATCTTCCAGATAATTGTCTCAAGCTTTTATGACTGACATTTTGAAACTTCACATCTAATGGCAGCAAGTTACATAAAGCAATCCTTCTTTCTGAAGAAATGCATTTCCCTTGTGTTTGGTTGAAATGCTGCCAGTGAATCAATTTGAGCTAATTTTAAAACACACCTCAAGGCAAATGTAGTTTTGATGGAGGTCCATTGCAGGCACCAGAACACACAGCAGATCTTTTTCTAGTACACGAACTGCAAAAGTTAATATTTTGAACAGTTCAGAGACTCTTTTCAAGGTTTTGTGCTCCTTGAAATGGAGCCCTGCACCATGCCCCCAACAAACAGCTGCACTCTGTAACACCCAAAGGCACAGAAGTGGAATAGCTTTTAAACATGTCTAACACCCTGGAGTATTCCCATACTCCTGTGCTGCTGAAGCCAAACACACCACAGATTATCTCCCAAAGAATGACTGTTCTTACGTCTGCATGGAGGCATGGTGGCTCTCAATTCTTCTTTCACACTGAATAACAGCAATCTGTCCCACTACAGAGCTGGCAGTAGTCAGATATGCTTTCCTTTCCAGGTGTGACCTTCACTTTGTTGCTGAAGATGACAGCTTCTCAGACCTCATACAGTGGTGGGAGCTGCCTGCCACAGCAGCATCTATCACCAGTGTCCTGGCTCTATAGCTCAAGTCCTCACTGTCCTCTATTGTACCATGAGGCATTCCATGTAGCCTCCAAGGTTTTAGCACTCAGTGAACATCAGTGGATTAAGAGAAAGTGAGCTGTTTCCCACATCATCACACCCAGCCCTGCTCACAGTGCTAGCTTAGCCTAAGCTGTCACATCAGTTGTACAGCAGTGTATGAAAGACTGCTTAAATGAACCCTATATAAGAGCTCCTGGAAAAGAGAAGCAACTGCCAGCTATTAGATCTTGGTGGCACTAACAGGCAAAGCCTATTAACTTCATCCCTTTGCTAGCACAAACTCAGCATCTTCTCATGGCGTCTTACAAGTAGAATTATCAGACCTAGGAGTGCAAGCAAAGAATCTTGAGTTCCTGAGGCACAGTCCTTCAGCATGCTGAAATTTTGTAACTTTTCCATTTGCTACCATGACTGAAGTGTCACATGGTGTCCTTACCACAGCTTCCCCACAAATCCCTCCAACTGAGCTTCCCTCCTGCCTTCTCCTCCACGCCCACTTGATTCCTTCCTAGAGCACTGCAATACATTCAGATGAGCATTGCAAACATGGGCATCCAAGGCCTTCTCAATTTTTCTTATAGGCTTTCACTTGGCTCATTACAGTTTTCTTCATTTAGCTAGAGAAATGCAATGCACCTATTCACTATTGGCTAGAAAGGAGAGGCCTCATCAGTGGGAACTCCCACACCAACCTCTGGTGTTGGGCAGGATTTGGAGCTGTTCTGCATGGATTCTGATTTTGAAGAGCTCGACTGAGATTCGACTTTCTTGGCTTGTTTCTGAGAACTGGCAACAGAAACTGGGGAGCCAGCAGCAGCCTCAGGCACCCGCTGTGACGACTCCGACTCATTGGTCTCCTCATTGTGAACCTTCTTTGTGTTCTGGTGAGCAAGCAATGCAGGACCAGATGAATCTGAAACAAAAGCAATCTATCCATTACTTTTAGCCACAGGCAAAATACAAGATCAGCAGTGAGCATCAGAATGAGCAAGCGCCCTTCAGAGTAGCTCAGGTGAGATTCATTTAACAGTGCAACAGACTGAAAACCCTCGGCTCCCTTTAGTCAGAGGAACATCAGGTTCTCTCTGTGACTACAAAACAAACCACGAGTATTTATGAGAGAGAGAGAACCCAAGAGTTAACTAAACATTTGCATTACTTTCTTGACACCTTCCCATCTATCCAAATAACGACACGCTTGACAGAACACCCGCAGGCACCTCCAGCAATTACCCTTCTCCCAGTGAGGCTGTGGGGTAGAGCTGCACAGCGCAAGAGGAAGTTCAGAAGTCACAAGTGTGGAGGTGAGAAGGTCAATTTTTCCTGTCTGAAGTCGGAATTGTTTGAGCTCCTGAGACAGAAGGCTGAACTGCTCTGTTTGACTGCGGCATTGGTCTTCTAGATCCTTCACCCGAGCCTGATAGGAGAGACACGAGATGAGACACAAACCCGCCATATCAAAACCACCACTGGGTCTCCAAACAGCATTTGTCTTTGCTACATCTCTTCAGAAACAGAGTGGGTCTCAAACTCCAAGGACCTAAAGGTACGCCCTGCCCAGGAACAGTCAGTAGGAATTGGCAGCTCTACACGTGCATTATCTTTGAAAATCTGTTAGAAGACTGATTAAAAGCACAATTAGGAATTATCCCTAAATGTTGAGTTTGAACTCAATATCCTAACTTAGCCCTGCACATGAAAGAATGAGAGAGTAAAAGACAAATAAGCCTTGGAAAGAAAAAGCCCAATACATCTTTGTAGGTTTACTGGAGCATTAACATCACACCTCCAGAAGGAGCTGCTCTCCCAATGCTCTCTCTCTCCATCACTCTAGCACTCCCAGGAAGCCCTCATGACTTTATCCTGGCCTTCCCACAAACCCTTCTGGGATGAACTCCCTATTGTCCCTTCAGACCTTGCCTCCTTCCAGGCAAAGAGCATCAGCAAGGCCCACACTGCAGAACGCCTGTGCAATGCAGGCAGCCACACACTTTGCCTTCAGGTCCTACAGGAATGACTTGCTGCAGGAAAACGCAGGCCGAGTACAAGAAAGCTACATCTCAACAAGATGAAATTCAGGGGAGCACTGAGGAAATACTGTAGAGAGGAGAAGACTAATTCCTGCTAGCTAACGTCTGTATCTGTTTTCTAGTGTTCTCCTTCCACCATCTCTCGATCTTCCCATTCTGAAACACTGCTGAGTCCTGGCTCTCCTTGCCCAGCCTCATATGTTCCCTGACTGCAAGCATTCCTAGCAGAATGCAAAGGCACCTGTCCCTTTTCCTCCTCTCACTCTGGCCACCATATACCTGCTTGCTCTGCTATCCCAGACAGATATCTCGTCCTTGCTGCTCATGCTCTTCAAGTAATAAACAAATATTAAGTATTAGTGCTGGTTGCAAATTTCCCTATTTCTTCAGTTGAATTCTGTGAGATAGAAAGTCTGTTTTTAAGCAACTCTAAAAATACCACTTCTGACCAGGAAAAGGCTTTCTTTCTGGTCGCAGAGTACTGCACAATTTTACTAGCATGCTCCCTGCCACCTTCCAAGCATGCATGCAGTTTTATCTTAGCATAACATATCTGTTTTAAACTTGTCAGTTTATCCCTCGTTTCCCCTCAAGCAGTAGAAGCTCTCAGTCTTCAGGAACTGCCTGTTGATGTCTCTGAAGGAGTAACTGCTTCTGCACTGAAAGAGAGCAATACATGTCACAAGCAACTCCCAGAAGCATCTGCATTCTCCACTTGCTCAACTTGCTGACTGAAGTCTCGTTGTGCAGGACTCCTTTGCAACAGAACACGTACGTCCTAGCAGACTACTTGCACAGGGTCACACAGGGCAAGGCAGGCAGGAGGCTTTAGGGAAGCACTGGGAGGCCAGGGCACAAGGAAGAGGAACCTAAGGACAAGGCCTGGAGCCGACAGCACCAGCAAGGATCTGGTCCCAGACACAGAAGATAGAGGAGACTTCTGTGTCCACGTCTAACCCTAAAAGGAAAGTAAGAGAAGCCACACGCCAAGCTGAGATTGAGCAGCGTGATTACCAGAAAAGGCTGCAAGAGCAGGGAGCAGAGCTTGGAGGCACAGTTTAACCACCAATCCAGGAATTTAATCTGAGTTTCCTCAATGAGCAAGAGCCAGCTCAGCCCTGTTCTCTTAGGCACCCTCCTGCTCTATCAGAATCTCCTCCTGTAGGTATTCTCCGTGTTCCCCTTGCTACCTCTCCCCAATTCTTTCGCACAGTCAATGTTATTTAGTCTCCCCATTTTTCTTCAGACCTTCTCACAGCTCTCTGCAGTCACATCTGAAGGGGACTGCTGAAAGCTGTTTTCTATCAGATACAAACTACTACTTCAGTATAAGACCTTATTCTAAATCTGTCGTGAACCAGCACCGCTCCTGGACTGCAACGCCTTAATTACTTCACTAGCTCCTGTTTCTTCCTTGACACTATTATTCACCATCTCTGCTTCCTATCTTCCAACCAATTACAAAACCAGCAGGATCTCTATTTTCTCTGTGACACTTTCACGTTGCCATTGCTTTTAGGTTTTGAAAGAAATGTTTCATTCCAGGACTGCAAACAGTTCCCAGAAGACCTTCAAATACATGCAGCACATGGAAGAAGTGCACAGTTGGACAAAACAGAATTGTCTGAAAAAGCCCAGTGAAAGCTTCACGTTCTAACTGGTTGAGAAAGCAAAGCATTTGAACAGGAAATCCTCCTCTGTGCAACTCATTGTGAAAGCTCCTTTAATTACATTAATTTCTTGAAGGTGACACTCTTGCAATCTTTTCCAGAGTATAATTAAAACAGGAATACCAATTAACTGTCAAAGCCAGGACAGAAGAGAAAAATGTCCTGCTTGACAGGATTATTGCAATACCTGCATGCAATCCAAAGTACTCTGATAGCAAGGAGAAAAGCAAAAAGAGATATAAAATCACATCAGAGGTTACACTAGCCACAATCCAACAACCTGCCAAAGGCAACCGACCCTCAGTTTGAATAAGCCTGTTTTCTCACTGAGTTTGGGTCTGCCTTATTCTGTGCTGGGATTTCCACCCCCACACAAGCATGTTTTGTTAAACAAAAGCCAAATCCCACACATCAACTCCAGAAATGAGGTAGCTATGCACTTTTTGAGAGTCTCCACAATATGTTTTGAACAAAAAAGATCAGCTGCTCAAGCTGAACAAAACAACTGCCCTCCTCCCTTCTCAGCACACATAGATGTCTAGTTTAAGCATAAGCAGCTGCTCCAATCCTTTGATGAATTAGTTCAGAAAACCTTTGTCAAGAATGAAGCCTCCCCCCCTTAAAGGCTGCTTAGCATCCCAACAAGTAAATACCCAGTGACATAAAAGCAGCACCTGTGTCACCTCTGACCCCGTCTCTGCAGTCAGTAAATGTTCCAGAGCGAACATGGAAATGTAACATTATATCACATCACTTCCCTGCCATATCCGCCCAACTTGCAACAATTTCAATGCCAGCTAATAGGAGCCAAGCACTCTGGGGATGTCCAATTCATGCAGGTCATGCCCACTCCAGCCACAGAGAAATCTCCTCAATCAGGGACACTTAGCATCCTGCTCCACTCTCCTGGGCTCCTCACAACCACAGAGCAACTGCACAGCGGTGGCCAAAGCAATTCAGCCTGTCATCTCCTACTGTGTGTCACCATTGCTGACAAGGCCGTGGCCTCCTTTGTATGAAATCTCACTGTCCGGTGCAACAGTGCAAAATGAAGCACTCTGCCTTGTCTCGGGTATTTGGGTATTCAGAAAACCCCAACGGACAGAGACAACAGAAGTTGCTCCCTGTGCCATCACACCTATCCCCATTCTCTTCAGGCATGAAATTATCAAGTTTCAGGGTTTGGTGCTCTGCCTTACAGCTCCAGGAATCCACAGCAAAGCTTTTCTCCAAAGTCATCTTGGAGCAATGAGTCATTGCACCTGCCTGCCCTCCCTGTTACGCTGTCTGCCACCACGGCAAAGTGAAGTCAGTGCTGATGTCACCACACTCACACAGTTGGTCCCAGACCAGCCAATGGGACAAGGTGCTGCCTCAAACCTTATCACTCATTATGCTTGGCCATCACTCAATAGGCAATGGCCACATTTCTTTCTTTTTTTTTTTCTTTTTTTTTTTTTTTTTTCTCTAATAGAAAGTACAGAGCCTGTACACACAAATATCAAATTACATGGACATAAGTATTCTTTCTCCCTGCAGATGGCCCTGGAAATGGAGCAGGTGGATCTGAAGGTGGTTACTTAATGCATCCCTGAAACAGTTGCTGGGCACAGTCTAAATGAAATAAGCCATTTGGTGACAGAGCAGCCTGGGATTTAACAGAAAACTCGATCCCCAATGACTACTTTGCCAGCACAGACGATAATTGTACACAGCAGCTGTGTCAAATCAATACAGTGTCATATTCTACTCAAGAACCAATAAAATCCAGGGCATCAAGAAAATTGGCATTAAGAACAAACAACACAAAGCCTAAAGCTACTAATCCATCTCATTTCCTTTCATCTTACCTCTAGAAGCTGTACTGCTCCTTCATGTTCTCTTTTTGCCTCTGCCTGTGCCTAAGAAATGAGAGACAGAGTAAACAAGAAAGCAGCATACCTAAACTCACCTCTACTATCACCACCACCTTGACAGACACAATTTCAGATTTAAAACACCATACTGACTGAAGACATCCTTGGTCTATGGACAGACAGACTGCTTGTCCTGGGAAAAATCCCCCGGCTCCACTCAGGTACAAGGGTTGGCACACACAGAGACGTTCATCCCTGGCTTCCCTCATTTAGTAGACTCACATGTATTTCCTCTATACACCACTTCTCCAAGGAGGTAAAGTGCAGCAGTCCCACCTCTTTCCAGGGATCCAGAGAGTACCAGTACCTTCTCCCCCATGCTGCATACCTGCTGCAACCGCCTGACTTCCTCTTGCTTCTCCTGCAGGACTAGCAGTGCTTCCTTGTGTTCGGCTTCCAGCAGCTGCCTTCGCTCAGCCACATCTCTCATGTGCTGCAGAACGATTCACAGGCAGTTTTAGGGCAACATTACTGAAATATTGTCCTGTGTCCTATCGTGAGTCATAGAATCAACACATGGCCTGTATTTCGCACATCATTAACCAGAGGAGAAAGTAAGAAATTCTTACTAAACCACAGCAACATAAAGAGAATCCTTGAATCAGTGATGGCCACCTTATGTCCCCTCCCACCCAAATCCCTGCAGCAGCCCAAGCCCCTCTGTTGACTCTGGAAGGCCACGTTCCAGGATACTGCATGGCAGAATCCCCAGAGGAGCACCAACTCAAAAGAGTGGATTAGAAAAACCAGTACAACAGAGACAGTCTGTGCCATCCAAAACCAGCATTATGGGTCTGGACAGTCCTCCCAGCTGCGTGGGTCCCACTGACCTTCAGCACCTGCTCTAGATTCTCCAGCTTGGTTTGAAGTCCTTGATTTCTCTGAATTACTGAATCCCGTTCCTTAGTAACCAAAACAACCTGCAGCTTCAGGTCAGCATTTTCAGATTCAACCTGAAGAGAAAGGATTGTCAATTAGCACAAGTAGCCATAGGTATTTGTTGTATAAATAATGGAGGGCAATTTACTTTCATATCTCAAGAGGTTGTTTTGCAGAACTGCTTCCTCCTTGCAATATCAAAATCACCAGCCTCCTCTCCCTCTGGTTTCCACTCAAAACAAATACTCATGTATTTATTGCACACACTGCTTCTCCCACTGGGCTCTCTGTTGCCGGGGTGTAGTAATTGGGATATGAAGCAGCTATCTACTGAAGAGATACAAACAAACCACACAAGCTCTCAGAGCTTTTTTTTTAATTCTAAATAGTGGGATTAAACAAAGAAAAAAACAAGATAATCTGTTCAAACTGCATTTACCTCTTCCATTTCCCACTGGAAGTTCCACTAACATATTTCGAATCTGCAGTGCACTACGGCTTGATGACTACCAGCAGTATTACCAACTAAAGATAAACACCTGCACTAAGTATGCTGCTTACTTCTTCTAAGAAAGTTTTACAGAAGGCAATGTCCCACTTGGCAAACAAGAACACTGCTTTTTACCTGTCCTGCCCATCCGGCCTTCTCATTCAGTTGCAAGTTCTCCTCGGCCAGTCGTGCATTTTCACTCTGTACCTCCTGCAGCTGGATCTCCTGTCAGAAACAGCAGGTGTCACTACACCAGTGTCCTCAGACTGACCCTCCCACCTTGTCCTGCAGCATGGCTCCATTGCTCCTGTTGACTGATGGTTCAGAATGCTGACAGGACGCTGCTTGTGCAATGGAAGATATCAGTACACAGCACTGTTCAGGCACATATCAGCTTCAGTAGCAGATGACCTCTTAAGTTCCTTTTCTCATTTATGTAGCCTCAAAACTGAGAATGAGAAAGCCATTTCCTTGAACACTATCTTCACCCACAATTCATCAACTTTCACTATGGGCTCAAGATCACAGTTTTCTCTACAAAGTTCATTAAAGGAGGAAAAAATATTTAGAAAAATCAAAAAGAGTCTTCAATGTAAACTCGAGTTTTAAATGGCTGTTTCTAGTTTGAAATCAGGAGGCAGTTTGGAGTCAAGAAAGCAATGTGAGCCAGCAATTACTGTGTGATACAGAACATTGTTTCCAAGCAGAAGGGGGAGCACAAACATACAGACAGACTGTCTCTATTAGTTAAGTCTAGACTACCTGCAGCCCCTTTGTACAGCATTAGAAGAATGTGAGTTTCATAATCAGAAAAGATGCCATGAAGACACATGCATGTCATACGTACATTCCCTCACACCACTGTTAGTTTAGATGGCCAAATATTTTCTCAGTATTACTCTTGCTGGTAGAGTCCCAGTTCCAGCTCTTTAAGGTGACGTGGTGCCTTCCCAGTATTGAAAAGCTGCTAACAACAGCTAACAACAACCACCAATGTATTCCTTAAGCATCCCATAGTCACTGAGATAGTGAGAATGAGCTCTGGATATGTAGAACTGACTTGAACTGAGACTCAAGCAAGATGTAAAGCCACCCAAAAGGTCAGTACTCATTGATGAATCCACAGCAGGCATGCTCAATGCACAGGCTGCGTGTTATTAACCCTGTCTGTCTGGAAACCAGGGCATGGGAGGGCACAGAGCAGTGCTAACTCACATGATAGCAAATAATTGTATGCATTTTGATATTCTGGCTAAACACAGTCCTGTGAACAGCAAAAAAATATGCAGACGTGTTTTGCGTTTTCACAGCATTATGAAGGTTGGAAAGGACCTCTAGAGATCATTGACACTTGCTGAATGCTGATGGAGACCAATCAGTGCATGTGAGCGCAGTGAGGAGGGGATGGAGCATTTCTGCAGTGGTGACAGTGACAGCATATCACCTCTGGTGGTGCACACTTGTGCCAACACAGCATGAAGTCTCTTGCTCACTGCAGCTGAAAAAGCACAGCTAATGGTGATGACTGTGCTGAGAACCAGAGTTTTGTAACTGAGAACTTGCTCTATCAAATCGTGTTATTGTGCTCTTTGTACCTATTGTAGTTTCAAAGGAAATAAGGATGTATTATTTTTGGTGCAACCAATGTATATGCAGCCCAAGAAAATTCCTCTTAACTCAGTGCAGCCCAGGCAAGCCAAAAGGTTGGACACCCATGAACTGTATATTGTGATTATCATTAACATCACCAGAGCTGTTCAGCAAAGTAGAAACAGAAGGAAGAAATCCAGATGCTTTACTATTACCTGTAAAACCTCCACAAAATGAAACAAGAGGTAAGACTTCATCCAATGAGCAGAAGCACAAGAATATGGCTGTACGTTCAACTACCATCTCAGGTTGCAGAAATCATTTGATGCTTGCCCAGAGTGAATGTGAAAAGATAAAGCATCTCCACCGACCAGAAGAGGCTATGGAGTTTTATCCAGTGATTTATGGAACTTTACTTAACTCAGCTAGCTGAAGGTCTAAATAAACAATTCCAGCTTCAAGAGCTGAAGCCCCACATTTGTGACATTCCAGATTGACACGGGCAAATCATTATTGCAATAAGTAGAACAGAACCCAGGAGAACCACAAAACAACCCAGCTCACTCACACCATTACTCTCACTCACACCATTAGGCAACAAGAACACTTACGAGTTCTTTGCATCTTTTATGCTTTTTCCTCACTTCATGCTCAAGGTTTTCACATTTTTTGCGTTTTTTCTTGAGTTCAAATTCCTGCATAGAACAAGCAAAAATAGACCACTAAGACCATGTTCATAAAATGCAGAAGAAATTCAGCTTCTCTGATCCAATGCTACATTGGCTTTTTCTGTTTTCTTAAGGAAATCTTTGCTACAAACATAAATGACATATAAACCCAAAAAGATACATATATATATTTAAAGGTAGTGAAAATAAAAGACTTTTCAAGTAAAGCAGCTATTCCTCCCTTCCTCAATCCTTTCAGCTTCTAGAAACAATTCTCTATTTCTCAGTTGCAAAAACTGTACTGATTTGTCTAGATAGGATGAAGGACAGGCTGTGAGGAACAAGTAGGCAGAGCTGTGGAGTGTTTCATACTGAAACACTAGCTGTGCTAAATTAGCTCTTATTCTAATCCAAATGACACCTAACAGACAGCAGACAACCACTCTTTATGTGCCTTTATCTGTGGTTACTTGCTACCACTCCTGGTTCCCCAGGTAGATAAAGATGCCTAAACCTCACTGTGAACTGTCCCATCTTGCTAGAGTCATGCACAGAGGCCATGCTCCTCATGACATCGGTCTTGGGTCAGTCATGTCTGTTCAATGAATGCTGAACCAAATACACCACAGAATCTATCACTGGCATGGCTTCCTCTCCTTTCAGACTGATGCATACCCCCAGTTCAGCACAATACCTGGAGCTGGCACCCAGCACCACTTTCCATGCAGAGACAGCCTCTGCAGGTTGCATCTAAGAAGACTGCAGTTCCCAAAATCTTTGTCTGGATTCTATGGGTGAAAACTCAAGAAAAACTTGAACTTCTTCATCCAAAACCAGACTGGCTTTGCTCTGGAAAAAAAGTGCCAAAAGACATCGATCCCTCCTGCACCCGTGCACAGGGCAACAACTCACCAGCTGCTGTATCTGTTGGCTGCTCTCTTGGTCTGTTACTGCATTTTTTGGAGGGAAGTTTTCATGTCCTTCCAAGGCAGGGCCCAGAGGTAGCACACCTGGTTCCACCTGGAAAGCAAGTGAGATCTCAGAGTTCAGAGACAGCCAGGAGCACCAAGGAAGACATTCTCCTGGCCATAGCACCTAAGATAGCAACATCCCACAAGCAAACTCCAAAACAATAATCACAGCTGGAAGGTGGTTAGATGGGAGAACACTATCCCTTTAAACAACCAAAAGGGAAAAATCAGCAAAGATCTCAGCATCCAGAAGGCAAGGAAGAAAAGAAGGTATTAAGAAAGGGGCATTCTACCTTGGTTGTTGGTGAGAGGGACAGAAACAACCAATGTGCTGTGCCTTATGTTCCAACACCAAACAGAACACAGAAACAAGGGAAACCCTTCACAGCTACTACAGGAAGATGTCTGGTCGATAGCTGACGTGGCTCAGTCTGCCCAGACTAACTACTGACAGCAGGACAAGGCCTGAGGTAGGCAGATGAAAAAGGGCCATGATAATACTGTTTTTCTTTAAATGTTGAAGTTATTTTTGATAAGTAGGTTTTAGGGACAGGAGCTGATGAACATCAAAGTGAAGTTATGCAGTGAAGAGGCAGGACTTTGTGACTGCACCTCAGCCTGTAACCTTCAGCCACCTGTCAGCAGCAGTGGAATTTCTCATCTCACTCTGAACACCTGCAGCAAGGGATCGAAGTTACTACATCTGAGCTCCCTTCACAGTCAGTTACCAGGACTGCATCCCAGAACAATACTTACCAAAGTCTCTTTTAACTACTTTGGACTTTAACCCTGGTTTCAACTACAACAATTTTCATGTTGAAAGCCAGAAAACCATAAGACTCCAGGCAAGCCCAGGCTAACAAAGTTTCCAGATTTTCTGCTACAGAGCTGGTGCTTGAAACAGCAGAGTCCTGAAACTCACATCCTGCATTGAGCTTCCTGCACTGATTTGTCTAGGATATGGACTTCCTGCAGCCCTATAATTAGGGAGACATGGGAGTTCCATTAGGGAAGCCAACAGCTGGAAGCTCCAGCTGTTGGGCTACCCTAATGGAACTCCCATGTCTCAAGAGCTGGAAATCTCAAGGTCCTCCACTCAAGCCATGGGCCCTTGCATGTCATCATATGTTTTGTCAAAACGTTGCATTTCAGTCAGCTTTCATGAAATAATGTCTCAAGGAACACCAGCAGATGCCACCTAAGGTCAGATACCCACTGTGCCAGCTACATGCACTATGCTTAATAAGCCATACTCTCACAGCAGATATGTAAGAAATCTCTGCTTGTTTGTAAGCACTTTTCAGTAAAATGATACATACAATGATTACATTCCTAATTACAGACAACTTTCAAAAACTGTAAAATTACATTTGCCCACTCAGGTCTAATTTCCATCCAAGAACAAAGACAACCTCCCAGCTACGTGCTCACACACTCTTACTGTCCCTCAGAACTCATCATCATACCAGACAACTGCTAAATGAGACTGGCACACATCACGGTGAGCGCTGTGCCCTGGAGCTGAGCCACCTCATTCACAGCAGGGACTGAAAGATGCTCTTTGAACCAGGTGCACGGAATCTGTTCAAGAAAACAGTTAAAAATAACCAGAGAACAGCTGCCCACAGTGAGCACCTATCTTGGCAGAGCGCAGGGACAGAGCAGGGTGAAGCTGTGCTGCTGATGAGATGTCCAGAACGTAGCAGCTTAAGTCAAGCATACAACAGGCACAGATGCACCCAGGCTTTGGCAAATGACCAGACTGTTTAAAGCAAGCAATAAAGTATATTAAAAATGTTGCAGTCTTTCTAGAAAACCCTGTCCTTGGCATGCAGAAAGCATCATCACAATCCTGCCCCCCCTGGAAATGCTGAAGCATCTCCCACCCAACCACAACCTGTCTCCTTGCTGTGCCAGGACAGCCCTGCGCAATGTCACAGAGCTGGACCACAAAACTGATTCAGGTTACAGAAAAAGTGGGAAGAAGGCTATGTTTGCTGGGCTGTTTTTAGCCCAGATCCGTCCTCTAGTCCCTAACACTCTGCAGCTCAACACAGCCTACAGCAGCATGACTGGAGGAGCAGTGGGAATGTGCAGTGGGAAGTAGGAGGCTGCTTAAGTGAGCACTACCACTGTGCTCACTACATTAGTATTGTTACAGAGATAAGCATCATCCCACAACCACAAATAAAGAAGCAGAGAGATCAGAAAGGGAAGAGAGAAAAGGGATTTTCCAACACCACTAAGAGAAGCCTGTTCTTTACACCCTGAGGAAGTTCCTTGAAAGGCAGGGGATAGAGCGCTGACACACTGTGCTACAGAAGGAGACAGAAGAGCAAAATCATTTATTGTACTTGTGGTACCTGTGGTTTTTGCTAACTCGATCCTCAACACTGTACCACTGCACCCACGCACACCCAGGTCCTCACTCCCTGCTCTTTGATGCTACCACACAGCCTTCTTGCTATGTTCAGCTGGGAAATCTTTGGACAATGAGGACTTCTTCACTTTTGGAAAAGTGAAGAGCAGCTACGAGAAAGGATATAATGCATATTCTCTATCATGAGAAGAATCTGACATATTCTGCAGGGTCAACTGAAAATCAAGGTATAAAAGGGCTGTTCAAGGACAACTAGGGCAGAGCAGGACCAAAATAATAAACAAAAGAAGTCTGTGCATCTATCTTCATTATCTAGGGGGTGAGGGTTGACCATGGCAGAAATCTCAAACTGCGAAGAACAGCTGAGGGTTTGTCTCAGAGATCGAAGTGTCAACCAAAAGAACTGTAGAAACCAATATAATAAACAGTAACAAATTACCGAGATTAGACAATATTCGTCTGAATTTAAAAAACAAAACAAAACAAACTTTTCACCATGAACGGAATGTCTCAATTTCAGCACCCAGTAAGGATGTGCACTATGCCACCTCTCTAATGCAATGCAAAACAACTGGAAGGTGGTAAAAGTCATGTTTTAAAAGGCTTCCAGTGGGGATCTGGGGAAACACAGACCCAAACATTTGACATCTGAGCCATAGGAAAACCAATCGAATTGCAACAAAGAACATGCAAGTACTTAAACAAACAGAAGAAAAAAAATCAACCCTATGCTACACTCCTGATGCTATAAAATGGGTGAGGAAGGTGCAGCACATACAGCCTGCCTTGTACGCTGCTACAGTGCTTTTTTAAAGGCTTCTTCAGACACTAAGCTGATGTAGGAAGAGGGGAAGGGATTCTCTTGGATAAATGTCCGGGGAAAACAAGAATTGAGAGGCAGCAGGAGCTGTGCACCTCAAATACTGATGTGGTGATGAAACAAACGGTGAAGGGTCCCTGTGGCACTGGGACAACACATCACAGCGTGGCATGGGACAAACGATGCTTCAGTAGTAGCCAATGCTTAGACAACAAGACAAAGGGCTCTATTAGGAAAGGGAAAGAACTTTGTTATGCTGCTCTGGGGGATCCTGCATGCTGTGACACAAAAACGACACAAAGATGGACAACTAGAAAAGACGATGGGTTTTCCCAAGGAGGTTGTGGATGCCCCATCCCTGCAGGCATTCAGGCCAGGCTGGATGTGGCTCTGGGCAGCCTGGTCTGGTGGTTGGTGACCCTGCACACAGCAGGGGGTTAAAACGAGATGGTTATTGTGGTCCTTTTCAATCCAGGCCATTCTGCAATTCTATGAACTAACACTGAATAATGAAAGAGAATCCTCCAAGAAAGAAAAAATGGCAGGAGGAGCACGGCGGCAACAAACCAGAGCTCAGAGCAGCGCGCCAGGCTGCAGGCGTGACGTCCTGCCCCAGAACATCGCAACTCAACGAACGACTGACGGAAGCCCCCAGGCCGCCCGCGGCTCCACGCAGCCCGGCCGTGACGGCACCGCGCTTCCCGCCCGCCCCCTCAGGGCCGCGGCCTGCAGTGGGCCCGCATGCAGGCCGGCCCCGCAGCAGAGCGCGCAGCGGAGGGGCTGAGCCGCCCCGCGCCGCCCCGCACCGCAGCCCCGGCGGCCCGGCAGCGCACAGCCCCGCTCCCGGCACCGCGGCCCACCGCGGCCCAGCCTTACCTTAACCTGCCGGCGCGCGGCTCGCGGGGGGGGGGGGCGGCGCCGCGGGGATTGCCGGGCCGGAGCGCTGCGGCCGCGGAGGGGCAGGGCAGGGCAGGGCAGGGCAGGGCCGGGCCGGGCCGGGCCGGAATGGGGCTGGGATGCGGCAGGCTAAGCGCGGAGCCGCTCCGCAGCGCGGCCTGTGCGGGAGGCCCCGGCTGAGGGCGCGGCGGCCGCGCGGGGCTCGGGGACACGCGGCCGGTCCTCCGCCATTGAAAACCGGCCCGGCCGACTTGAACCGCGGCTCGCGCGCCTCGATCGGATTCCCTCGAGTGGGAGCGAATCGAGTAACGGAGCGGCGAGGCCGTCGGCCGCTGTCCCGCTCGTCTCACCGTGCCGCGCGCTGCCCATCCCGCCGCCGGCTCCCTCCGGCTCACCTCCTTCGCTGCGGGTGAGTCTTTGCCGCGGGCGTTCGGCGCCGGGCCCGGGCGGACGGCGGCGCTCGGCGAGGAGCCCCCCGAGCCGCTTTTGGAGGAGCGCAGGCAGTCCTTGAAGTTCTTCAGAGCGATTTGCCTCTGCAGCCGCAGCACTTCTTTCTGGGATTCCCGCAGCAGCCGGTCGAACTCCACCACGTTCAGGCAGCGAGGGTCACCCTGCGGGGAACGGTAGCACGGCGTGCGGCTGCAGCAGGTTAAGGGTGGGTGTAAAGCACGAAGTGCTGCCAACAGATGCCAGCACACTCCGTTCCCTAACAGAGCACACTACAGCTTCTCTTTCCTGGGCCCCCAACTCCTCCAAAGCAGTCATTTCGCATCCTAAGTGTCAATACGTAATTTCTCTCACAGATGAAAACTAGCCTGCGATGCTTTACAGTTATCCCAGTGTAAAGCTATGGTAAAAAGGGCTTTTCTAAGCGCGTGCTTTCTAAGTGTTTGCCAGCAGAGAGCGTGTCAGGATAATACAATTTCATTTATTCGTTCCACAGCAAAACAAGAGCCCCAGCTGGGTTCCTCTCCTTGCTGTGTGTGCTGGTATTCTCTGCAGCCTTGTGCGTGCCTGGCGGTTAGGGCTTTAATGTTGGAAAGAATGAAGCGTATCTGAGACGCGTTTTCTTCTGACTCAAGGTGTTTGGCTTTTTAAAGTGCTACTGATTTCTGACCACAGAGAGCTTGTGTGAATAGGCTTCTATCCTCAGCACAAGTAGCCAGTCCTGTCCACTCTGGACGCAAAGCCAGCAGCTTTTAAAGGAAGCCAGTACAATTTTAGTCTTGCTAAAACAGTGAGAATACATCACCAGTTTGTGTTAATTCCTCAAAGGTTTTCAGATTTCAGAAAGCTGAAAAAGACACGTACCTGCATGTCTGTACAGACATACAAAAGCTGGTTATGAAAACCTGCCCTTACAAATATGCTGCTGAAGGAGACATTGCTCATTCCCCTGGAAAGCTCCTAAGCCGGTGAATGCATAATTGGTATCCAGGACAAATTTAATCTGCTTCCCCGTTCACTTCTTATTCACCCTAAAAATAGCATGTGCTTTGCAAATACAGTTTGTAGAAAAGCATAGTTACTCTCAAACAACAAGGGGGAAACCGAGGCACCATTAATGGGAACTGATTACAGATTCAAGAAGTGAGCAGCCGCACACTCTGTGCAAGACCCACACTGAGGCTATCAGGGTTAGTTCTTCAAACAAAATTGGCGGGGACTGCCTAAAAAGCTCCCTTCCCCCACCAGAAAATAGAAGCAGCTATTTCCATAGAGAGCCTCCAAAGCCGGGGGGGAAATAAGAGAGCAGAAGAGCGCTCAGTCTTCCACTCACAGCTCCTATTATTTGTGTCCTCTGCAGCTGCCTTGCCGTTCCCTGCAGCCTCCAGGAATCCCCACTGCAAGAAATGGCAGCCAGGTGGAACCTGGACGGGGCCTTTGTTGCAAACCTGTCACTGCAGCATGATCTCAGGCAAACATCTTACCCTGAGAGCTCTGACTTGGCAAAACAAGGCCCGCTCTTGTAGCCTGGTGCGCGTGTCGTCCTACCACTGAAAATGAACAGAGTGCATCTGTTTCATAGCTACTGAAAGATTTGTGCTGAATCAAGTGCACTAGATTAAAAATGATTTGGCTACAAACTCTGAGCATGCACATAATATCTCTGCTCATAAACCCCCTCATTGGCATAATGCATTTTGCATGCTGCAGACAGATTAGGGGAATTTTGAATTTTAACTAGCTGAGAATTAAAATTTAATGAGCAGCTTGCTTGGAAGATAAATGGGGAAGAAAAAAAAAAAAACAACCCACAGGATCAGATAGAATAATTTCCTCTCTGACAATTTTTCTCTGCAGATTCCCAGCTCATGTACTGATGGCCCTCACTGCTGGTGCCTGGGCAGGTTACACAGATGGTCTCACCTTCCCAGCCAGGGTGGTTGCCCATGCCCTAGCAGCAAAGCAGCAACTGAAGTCTCAGCAGCTATGAGGACTGCACCCATACGTATTTCCTTGGCCAGTAATGAATCTTGCTCTCCTGCCTTTGTCACATTCTTCTACATTTTGTCAGCTTCCTATCCCTGGGAGATTCAGCTTGTTCAGCACGCTCTGCTGTGAAAATCAGAGGGCTTGTTCCCCCTTCTGTGGGAGTCTGCAGTGAGCAGTCATGGGCACAGGAAGGAAATTTGTTCTTGGTAAAACTATAGAATGCACTCAGACCTAGATAACTTTCTCTTGTGATTTAACACCAGAAGGGATCACTGGGACAGCTCTGTACAAACAGTGAACAACACCCAATTATTCTTGTCTAGACTAGATCTATGTTAGCGAAAGGCAGAGAATCTACTTGCAAACACATAGTTGAAGTGAACACATGCAGAGCTCAAGGAATGAAATAAAGCTGCTTTCAGCAAGAAAGTATTTGTCACCTAAATATTCCCATGAGTAGGTAGAAATAGAAGTATTATTTCTGCTCAACTGGGTGCAGAAACACAGCACTGCATTTGACCACTTGCATACTGGTGAAAAAGGGAGAATGAGAGTGTATTAACTGACCTGCATTAAAACTGTGTAGCTTGTGAACAAAAGACAGATCCGATATAATCAGAACAGATTGCTCTGGCCACTCTGAGCAGGAATTGTTTCACCTAATTTAGGTGCCTGCAGAAACTCCTTTTGTAACCACCTCAGAGAAGTGCCTTGAAAGAGTGTCCAAGCAGTTTTACACATGTGTCTCAGGATGAGCTGAATTTTCCCTTTTATTCCACTTTTTATTTCAGCAAGTTCTGTGCTGGGCCACCAGTCCATGTCCACACATCAGCACTGTAGATTTTATGAGTTTTATGAACACCCACCCTCATTTTAGGATTTGTACACATAATATCAGTAACACAAGTTTGCATGTAGATATCATCACTATGATGGCTGCAAGCACTAAAAGCTGCTGCTGAGAGTATGCAATCTGGAGTGATTCTTGGGAATGTGCTCAACTGGTTTGTTTTTTAAGGAAATGCATTAAAAGGAAGTCCTGCTTCTATGTCTTACTTGAAGCTTAATACTGTGAAAGGCCATTCTGTATCTGTGGCTTCTGGGGTTTTCCAGGGAGACAGTTTTAGTTGCTGATGAAAATGGCAGTGCAGGATCTGTGAATCCACAGAGGGAGAAATGGGATGTCCCCCAGCACACTGTTCCAAGTGGTCTGGATCCTGTCTTGGCCACATGCTCCTCTAACTTTCCCCATAACAACTCACTCATCACATACTCTCTGTTTTCAGTCTGCCCTTGAAACTAATTGCCATGGCACTGCTGGAGCCTGGTTCCCGACATCGTTACTGCACTGTTTGCACCCAGCCACTGCACAAAGTCCCCGAAGTATCTCACCTTCCCTGCAATGAGCTTAGCCTGCAGCTCCCGGCACTCCTGCTGCAGAGCTTCAATCTGCTTGTCTTTTGCCAGAAGAGCACTGGCTTGCTCTGTCAAGTCCTTGGCACGCTGGCGGGCAAATGCTTTTTTACACAGCTCCAGGCTGGAACCCTTCAGGGGCACTGGAGCAGTTACCTAAACCCAGAGAGAGCAGCAAGAGAGAAAGCCACATACATTGGTATTTTTCACTCAGAGGGTGGTGGTGCACTGGAACAGGTTGTCCAGAGAAGTTGTGGATGCCCCATCCCTGGAGGCATTCAGGGCCAGGCTGGATGTGGCTCTGGGCAGCCTGGTCTGGTTGGTGACCCTGCACACAGCAGGGGGTTGGAACTGGATGAGCACTGTGGTCCTTTGGACCTGGGGGTATTGATTGATGCTCGGCTGAACATGAGCCGACAGTGTGCCCAGGTGGCCAAGAAGGCCAATGGCATCCTTGCTTGCATCAGAAACAGTGTTGCAAGCAGGAGCAGAGAGGTAATTGTTCCCCTATATTCAGCACTTGTGAGGCCACACCTCGAGTACTGTGTCCAGTTTTGGGCCCCTCACTGCAAGAAAGATATTGAGGCCCTGGAACGTGCTCAAAGGAGGGCAACAAAGCTGGTGAGGGGTCTGGAACACAGGCCATATGAGGAGAGGCTGAAGGAGCTGGGAATGTTCAGCCTGGAGAAGAGGAGGCTCAGGGGAGACCTTATTGCTCTCTATAACTTCCTGAAGGGAGGTTGTAGTGAGCTGGGGGTCGGCCTCTTCTCTCGTGTCATTAGTGATAGGAGCAGAGGGAATGGTTTCAAGCTACGGCAGGGGAGATTCAGGCTGGACATGAGGAAGTATTACTTTTCAGAAAGGGTGGTCAGGCACTGGAATGGACTGCCCAGGGAGGTGGTGGAATCACCGACCCTGGGGGTGTTCAAGGAAAGACTGGATGTTGTGTTGAGGGACATGGTTTAGTAGGAGCTATTGGGAATAGGTGAACGGTTGGACTGGGTGATCTTTTAGGTCTTTTCCAACCTTAGTGATTCTATGATTCTATGATTCTATGATTTGCAACCCAGGCCATTCTAGGATTCTATGAATGATGTCGGCCAACTATCACCCCAGGTGTCATCAGAGACCAGGGCCAGGACATGCAGCCTAGCCCCAAAAGACAGAGAGAGGAGCAAAACAGGCATATGGAAAAGTCAGAGGAAAGAGGAAATGCTTCTTCGAGGAGCAGATCAAAGCAGAAGTGGGAAGGAGAAGGTGAGGTGAGCAGATGAGGCCAACGCACACACAGACAGTACAGAGGGCTGCAGGCAGAGAGAGGAGAGGAAGACAGGATGAAGGGAGAAATACGGAGAGAGGAGGAGAGGAGAATGGCAGGGAAGATGAGCAAAGGGTGGAGGAGGCTAAGCCAGGAGGAGAAATGGAGCTGTCTTCGAAAGACAGTGGGAAAGAGCTTATGCAAGGATGGGTGGAAAAGACAGTCAAAAGGAGAGGTGAGGGAGAGCCTAGCCAGGGCCAGAACAGCTGATGCTGCCCAGCTGCAGTCACCTGAGGATGACAGCTCTCAGTAGGAGCCGTCCCTAAGGCCAGCTCTCCCATGGGGTACCAGCACCACAGGTGGGCACCCTGCATATCCTGAGCTGGCCACTTGGTTTTCCTAGGGCTCACCCAGGGCTCAAACAGCCACCATCCCAAACTTAAACACAAGAAAAATAATGAAACAGCATTTGTGAAGTTCCTGGAGGGTCTGCATAGCTGTTGGTTGTATAGCAAATGATTTTTCTTGGCACAGTACCTGACAAGTCCATCTGGCAGCAACTGTTGTGCTGCAAGTACCAAAACCCTGTGACAGACGCGTTCCTAGTGCAGTGCAGGGCCCAGGGACAGAGAGGGCAGGCAATGCCAGGAAAATCCCCTACCTTCCCCTACCAGCAAAGCTTTTGCTTCTTCTTTCTATCCTGAAGGGCTTGAATTTCTCCCCTACTCCCGGTTTCCTTCCAGTGGGAGAACATTTTTCCCCTACTCTGCTGCAAGCTACCTTTATGTAGCTCGTGCAGATGTTTGTCTGCAAAGCACCATATCCTGCAGCCATCTCTCTCTACTCCTGCACCACATCAGAAACTACTGGGTTTGCAAAAAGCTCCTCTTCAGTTTGAGAAAGAAAAAAACACGCCACTTGCACAAAAATGCTAGTGAGGTGTGCACGAGGCAGAGCAGAATATCTCACCCCTTCCTGTTTTGCTTTACCACACTCCTTTTCTTATTTAAATACTTCCTGTTTCTTTTCGATGAAGTCAGATGAGTTATTCTCATGACTAGCCCAGGGAAAGCTGAGCTAATTACCTAAATTAATACTTTACATTAGATTGGCACATTTACAGCAAGAAACCAATTAGGAGGAAATTGCTCAAAACCAGCTCCCCAAGCACGAGCTGAAGAAGCTGGTGATGGTTCTTTCCTCAGTTCAGTTTTGTGGTTTTTGCTCTGTCGCTGGTGTACAAAGCAAGTTTGCTGCATGGCCTCGCCAGGTTAATTAAAGAGGAAAGAGGAGGCCGTTCTGTCCCAACAAAAGCAAAAAACAAGAAGTCCTGGGGGCAAGGTGCTCTCCTAGCTCAGGCCCCAGCACAGCAGAGGCTCAGCACTCACGACTTTGAGGTTGGCCTCCTGCAGTTTTCGGGCTCTCTCCTCCAGTCGTTTGGCGATCACCGCCAGCTCTGCGTTTTTCCTCTTTAGGTGCTTCACCTTCTCCTCGGTCTCGGGGAAGCAGCTCCTGCGCTGGATAACAGAAGGAGAGGGCCAAGGTGAGACCTCACTCAGTGTCCCTCCGCAGTGCTTACACACCCTCCTTCACTTGTCTCCTCCACGGTCACTGAAACTTCGCTTCTCCTGATGTTTTGTTAACGTCACATCTTGGTTTCTCAAAGAAACCCCTTGCCCCATCCAGCCTATGGACGCTCTGCAACCTTACACTCTCTCTGCTCTTTGCAGGCTCTGCCTTTGCCACTTGGGACTTGGCATCTTGGGGCTGCTGCCCCTTCCGAAGCCTATCCCTGTTCATCTCCCTGCTGCTTCAGTGTTCAACACATCACTGTGGGTTTGTGCTGCAGCACCATGTTACAATGCGAGCTTTGCTGCTGTCCTTGCTCCCCTGACACTGAAGCATGAGTTGGGGGGACGGGGAGAGAGCAGCCAAGGACTTTACAATGTTTGCAAACCAAATTTCCTTTTCCTTTCTATTGATTCTGTTCACTCTTAATCCCCTTTTATTTGTTATCTGTCTGTTTCAATAAGCTGCTCCTTGTTCTCTCAAGGTCAAACCCAGATGTGTTGCGCTGTCTTTTCACATTAGCAAAAATGTCAGGTCAGCTGATCCTTCCAATTATTTCCTTCACTACCTCTGTGATCCCACCAAGTGCACGTGCTGCTTTCACTGCCTTATTTGATTTCCTTCAGTCAGAAGACTAGAGGCTGATTTTTGAGAGTAAGATTTGACGCCAGCTTTTATGACAGTGCTTTGCTAAAATCCATGGTTGTCAGTGGGTGACCCTCCCCAGTGCGCATGGCGTGCTGAATTTATGCTCTTAGTGCAAGAAAATTATCTAAAACGTGTTTTGAATCTAGTTATATACAATTTGAATGATTAATCTTTTAAGGGTATTTTGAAGGGAAAAAAATGGCATGATCTGTGCTCTTCTCGGATTCTTTCCTGCCTTCTTCCGATCCTTTTCAAACAGCTGCTGTGACATTTACATTGAGAAAAGGGAAACACTTCTGCCTAGGAGGGCAGTATGGCCCTACACTTTCAGAGACGCATGGAGAATGAGCAATGCAAGGTGTTCCCCTTTGCACAGTGTAGTTCAGAGCCAGGGTTGCTGATGAACTGAAAAGTTATAGGGTTGGACTGATGCAGCTCTGCCAGCACTGCAGAACTTAGCTCCAGGGTGGCTATATCCCTGTACCACAGGGCTTCCCAGGCAAGGATGCTTTCTGGTGAGGATTCAGTAGGGAGAATCCCCTCTTCTTATTTCCTGGCTGCTGACCATGAATGTGGAACCCAAGGAGGTGGGAGTGGGGCAGATTGGGCAGCCTGCACTGTGGCAGCCTGGCCTGCCTTTGGGTGCTGGGGTGCAGCTGGTATCAGGTGCCAAGCTCCCACTGAGCAGGGAGCACTGCTGCATTGTAACCCAGAACAGGGCTGACTGAATCAGTGTTTCTGCTTTTCCACTTAAAGAGGAAACAAGAGCGACTTCCCCCTCCCCTGCCGTCAGTTCGCTGCTGCCTTTCTCTCTGCCAAAGCTGGCAGCTGCGGAAAAGCCTCTTGCAGTTGCCAGCAGGCAAACAGTCCTGGCAAGGATGTCAAGGAGGGCATCAGCAGGTCACCAGGAAGGGGTCCTGCTCAAGCCAACACTGGGTGCAGCAGAAAGGCACCTAGGGGACCCAAAACACCCTGCTCACCCCAGCTGACCCCATGTGCTGTTCTCTTGGAGCTTGGCCCAGCCAAGACTCCTTCCCCATGCATCATCCACACCGGTGTGTCTTGAGCCAGCCTGGTGCCTGGCCAGGGTGCAGGATGGGGCTGTGTTCTGCACTCACCAGCAAGCTGTTCTCCTCGGTGAGGCTGGAGCAGCGGTGCCGCAGGTCCTCCAGTGCGCTCAGGAGCTTCATGTTCTGGCTCACAAGGAAGCTGTAGTCAGCCCCACTCTGCAAAACGGCATGGAAAAGGCAAAGCAGGGCTTCACTGTCCAGGAGCAAAGGGGCCATGGCTGTGTGCCCATCCCAACCCCATAGTGAGCCCAGCCTGGCTATGAGGGTAGGCCAGCGAGATCAGAGTGCAGGCAGCAAAGGGGCAGGGTGAGACCTAGAGGCTGATTTCAGGACAAGAGGAGGAGAGAGACTGCACATCCTTTGGGGGTAGCAGGAGCAGGCCATAGCTGGGTGCTCCCTGCTCTGCCTGACTGTTGGCAGCTGCTCTCCAAGGGGTGTACTGCCAGTGATGGGGGACATCAGGGAGGCTATGGAGGCTGGCACCCAGCACGAGTGGTTCCCCCTCCCAGCACCATGGGCTAGCAGGATGGGTCCCTCTCAGCTGCATCAGGGTCTCAACTTCCATCTTGGGAAAAAGCTCAGATCCTGACATTGTCCCCAGCTGCTTGCATTTTGACATTGTGCCTTCTAAACCAGCTCAGAACACAAACAGAGCCAGCCGTGACACACCAGACATGTGCTCCTCCCCGTGGCTCAGGAACCAGCAGCCTTCAGCACTGCACAGTTTTTGGAGGCAAAGAGACGTCCTTGCCCACCTCCCCATACCAGCTCAGGTCCAGGAACCATCCAGGAGCCCAGCCCCAGTTCTCACTGTGTCAGCCTTGGCAGTGGAAGAAGGCAACATGCTGGATTTCTTTGCAAAACACCACCTTAATTTTGTCACATCAAAAGCAGCAGCAGCTCTGCTGGGAGCTGTATATATAGCTTGTGGTTACTGCTTCCTGCACAGAGCTGCTCACCACAGGCTTGCTGCTGAAGCAGGGGCCCAGAAAGTATTTTTGTGCGTTAGCAAAACTTGGGGCCAAGCTATTGCTTCACTGTCACCATATGGCAGCAGCAAGGCGCGCACCTCGGGCAGACCTGGCCAGATGTTCTCCCAGCAGCCAGGCCAGTCTTGCAAGACCCAGGATGACTTTGCTGGTGCCACCGGATGGCTAAATCCTTCCTGTTGCATGGCTCTGTGTGTGCAGCCCAGTCTACGAGTGAAATGCTCTTCATTACCAAGAAATACCTCCCAGGCTCTCCTAGTAGCAAGAACTCAGACAGGCAGATTGCAGCACAAAGATGCTTCTAAACTCTATCAAGTCTGAGGCTGTCTAAAACTCACCACAGTTTTGAACAAAATTGGTTTTGGCCTCTCAATCACTTCAATCTGTTAAAAAGCACAAGAGAATGCAAAGCACTCCCCACCAAGTCCCCTGGCACAGCTCAGCACCACAGGCAGCAGCATCCCATCCCTATATGGAAATGCCTTGGCAAAGCAAGGAGGATAAATAGGGAAAAACAAAAACAAAAAATGAAAACTAAAACTGAAAACTAAAAAAAAATCAAACCCCCAAACCACCTCCCATCCCTTCCAACTAGCCTCACCCAATGCCCCTACATCTCACCAAGCCTTCTGACACTGCAGCAGGACAAACTGTGTGTCAGGCCTTTGGTGGAGCTGTTTGTAGGTGTCCACCCTGCAGAAATCCCAGGGTTAAGAAAGGTGGAGCGAAATGCCCCATGGAAGAGCCTTCCATTTGTGGGAAAGCAAACATTTATTTTCCTCTTTTCCACCCATAGGCACAGCCAAGAAGTCACAGAGCCAAGTGCTGATCAGGCTGCGTAGCCCATTGCTCTGGTCCCAGGTTCTGCAGCACCACTGGTCCCATCCCTGCTGCTTTACAGGCACAGCATGTGTCCCAGAGAAAATTTCCATCTCCAGAAACAGCAGAGCCCTTCCTGGCACCCAGGAAGGGGACACTGTGCGTCCGACAGGGCCATGGAGCAGGGCAGGGGCACAGAGGGGTCCTGTCAGTGTTTTCCAGGCAAGCTCAGCAGAGCTGTGGGCTGGTTCAGCATGCCATCCCTAAAGCTAGGAAAGCAGCCCTTGGGATGAAGTCAGAGTGCATTATTTCCACCTCTTTGCAGCTGCCAAGAAGATTCAAGCTTTTCATCTTTGCTTTCTGGCGCCCAGCAAGGCCAGGCATGCTCAGCCTGGGGCAGGATCTGGGCGGCTGTGGAGCAGCCCAGAGTGCCGTGTCCTGTCCCCAGCAGCAGCCAGGCTTGTGGCACGTCAGCACAGTGCTTCTGCAGGGACAACTGGTACTTCCAGAGACTCTAGAAGGGATTCTGCTGGGAACCAACCCCCTTATGGATCCATTTCAGTCTTTGAAACCTCTTTTCTGTAGCTAAAAACAGCTAAAACCCAGGAGCCTGCACTGAGCTCCTGAGTGCTGCCCTGAGCCCTGCCCCAGGCTGGGTCAGCCTGCAGCTTGGCTGTCCCCAGCTCCTAGGACCCTCTACAGCCTCAGGGCCTCACCAGGAGAGGCGCAAGGGACGGCAGCAGCAATGTGGTATCAGGGGACCTTCCCTGTGGCCTGCAGCTCCTGAGGAAGCTTTGCCACCTCCTCCTGGCACAAGATCGGGGCTGGGCTGGCTGCCTGGGCTGAGTCTTCCTCGCACACCACATGGCCAGCACCGACCGCCTGTCTAGACGTCATCCCACACTCATTAAACATTCATTTCCCATAATGAAATGGCTTTTCATTTATTAACTGCTCCTCCGTTCCTCATTGCTCCCGCACTCCGTGATGCACCCTTACTGCAGATTGTGCTTGCAGCCCCCCTAAATGCTGTGTTCAGAAGGGAGCTGAGGAAATCTTTGAAAGAAGAGGCCCCCACACATGACTTGTCTTCATAAAGATGCAGAGAAGTGCCAGCAGGAGCCATGAGCCAAAATCCAAAGCATCCCATGGTCAGGGAGGTAAAGCTGGTGGGAGCTGAGGCAGAGCTGTACCAGAGGGCACAGGGAGCCCTCGTGTCCCTGCATCTGGAGCTGCCTTGGCCACCAAAACAGTTAAGCCCAGGGACACCTTTGGCCATGGGGGACATTTGCTAAAGGCAGAGCAAAGCAGGGAAATAACAGCAGGGAGGCTGGTGGGGGAGAGCGGAGCGCAGCTCCTGTTTGCAGCTGGCACACAGCTTTGAAGTGTCTCGTTTCAGGGAAAACATGATCATCTGTCACCTCCCTTGGCAGGTAGAGCCAAAAATACAGCTTCTTTGCAATGCATCAAGAGTGAACAAACACAGGCCTCAGCAGGACAGCAGCAGCAAGAGAAGCTGTTTCTTCTTCACCTGAAAACTTCAAAAAGCAACTGAGAGCTGCAGCAGCTTTTGCAGGGAGAAGTGCCCAGCCAGGCTGCTAAATGGGTCACGAAGCCAAAATCCCCCAAGAACCACCCAGCATCCAGCGCAGGCTTTGAAGTCCTGCAGAACATTTGCAGGAAGCCATTTGAGGGGCAGTAAATCACGCCGCGGCAGGGCTGGCAGCACTGCTCCGCAATGCGGCTCGGGCACACTGTGCTGCCGGTGCCTGGAGGCTCAGCCTGGCACCAATCAGCCCGGGGACTTTCCTACACCTGCTGCAGGGACCAAGCCAAAGACAAAGCCCTGGCCTGATTGAAAATCCCAGCAAATGTGGAGGAGGAGTTAACCAGGTGGCTCCTTGAGTGGCACATCTCAGACAGCTTCTGGCATTCTCTTGGCTGGTTTTAAAACATATACAATCTGAAGATGTTTCTACAGTGACTTCTCTGCCTGCAGCAAACAGGGCTCCAGCTGCCAGGTTTGCTTCCCAAAGGCTGTCTCTGAAATCCAACCCTCACCGCTGCAGACACCGCTCCCAAAGTGAAACTACACTGCTGCTTTCCTACTCTCTCAGATGTATTAAATCCACCACCTCTGCCTCTGAAATCGTCACCTGTCACACAGTAAATACCGAGCCTCAACCATGCCAAAGCCCTTTAGCTGTTCATTCCAGCTGACTTTGGTAATTAGTTTCCTTAACTTCTCAGTCCTCGCCACTTGTAAATAAAACCTGTCACTGCTCATCCATTTTCTCCTCTTCCATCCAATCTCAGTGAAATCAGTTCATAGGAGAAGCTATTTTCTGTAGGCTGCTTTCTGCAGTGCCCTCACTGCACATCAAAAGGAAGATGAAAATAGCATCACCTCCTGCTGGGTCAGTGAGCAGCAGCAGCAAAACCCATTGGTGCTGGCACAGCGAGCGCACCTCGTGCTGGAGAGCGCGTTATCCAACCGGAGGTAAAAAGGCTGTTTTGGTTAAAGGTAGGGGAGAAGTAGGAGAGGAGCTGGGGATGCAGTCGTGCTCACCCTGCCACCCCCCTGACAGGCAGCCTGCGTCCCACAGCTTCCTTCATTTCGCACCACGTTCCCACTTTCAGACACAAACATCTCTGCGCTCTGACTTCATGAGGCTCCCCTCCCATTCCTTGCCCTGTGCGCTGCCTTGTTTCCATGATTCAGTATTTTCTCCCACTGCCCGTCCCTCTTCCACGCATGACCTTATACACTGTGATTTCCTCATTTATCTGATTTTTATCGCCACTTGTAACAAATTCATGGAAGAAAAAATCCATCCGAGACTATTTACTTCAAAGATACTGCCTCCAGCATAGGGAGTGTTGGAGCCACACACCGCAAGATATGAGGAGAATATTCAGGGAAACATTCACATTCTATTTGCTCTTCCTTACAGCCTTGCACAGGCATTGCTCCTGCATGCCCTGTCACCACCACCAGCTCTTCCTGTGTTCCTCACAGTGTATTTAAAACAAGACATGCGGTTAAAATTGGAATCTCACAAATTTGTATCCTCTCTATTTTTATGAAAGCACCATCTCCAGTCCCAGAAAAACAAACTCTGGTGCTTCATGAGAAGGAAAAAAAAGCTGGACACCATGGCCAGACTGTCCTTTAATGAGCTCAGCTGCTTAGGGCTCCCCATACAGAGAAAAAAGAATGACTTTTGCAACATCAAGACGAGGAGGATGAGTGGAGAATAAAATCCTGGGACAGAGGCAGAACACAAGACTACCCAGTGTGCAACATGGAGCAGTTTCTCATTAACGGCAAATGCAAAATACAAGAGATTTTGCAAGCAGATGAGAGAAAATGACACCTTAATACCGCAAGGCTGCTGGAAAGGCAGCTCTGAACCACTCCTGACGTACTGCGCACGCATTTCTTCATCTTGCACAAGCAGACAAAAAGCAGATCAGCCAGCTAAGAGATACGGAGGATTTGGAGATAGCCTTTCCTGTCCCTGCAAGGCCAGCTAGTCACCATGCACAGAAAGCAGCCCTACATGGGATGGACCCAGTGGGGAGAGTCAAGTAGGGAAGGTCCTGCTGAGGGCACAGGCGCTCATCCAGCAGCTGCCATCTCTACCAGAGCTGCTCCTTGTCCTGCTCTCCACTGTGGTTCAGAGGCCTTAAACCAACCCTTCTTGCAGTGGGAATAACCTGCCTGATGCAGAGTTAGGACAAGTGAGGGTGGCTCTGGAGCTGTGACCAACCTCTCTCCACATTCAATATTCTTATTCATATTCATCTCTCCATATTCAACATTCTTATTGCAAACCAGAATATACAGCCAGAAACTGCTGCTGGTGACTCCTGGGCTGCGATCCAGCTCGGTTACCAAATAACCTAAACCACAGGGTATACAAAGCGAGTATGACAGCGTCACCTTCGTACCCCGGGTCACTCTGAGACTCAGGTGACTGCCTGGGAGCTGAGGCACCTCAGCCTTTTTCCCTCACTGAAGATTTTTCTGGGTCCTGCTGCGAAATTGAATCTGCAGAGCAGTGGGTGCAGGCAATGGTATTTACACCAGGAAAAAGCAACATGTAGAAGTGGGAAGTAAATGTGTTAACATCCTTAGTGCAAACACAGAAGGATGAGTGACTTCGCAACCTCTCCTTGCATACCCATCTGCACTGCCCATCCTTTGAGCTAAACACATGGCACTGCCTTCCTACAGAAGGTGTTTGGGATTTTTCTTGTTGAACATCAGCCTGAAGCTCTCGGCACTGCAAGCTCCGGTCTGGGCAGCTCTGAGGTTTTTGTGGAGCATCTGGGCTCTATTTTGATGCCACGTGTCAGATAATTCTCTTTTGTAAATATGCAAAGAAGAAAAAAACTGGGGAAGAGTGATAAAATTTAGCTCTTTCCAGGTTTGGTATTTTGATGAACAGAAACCCTAATCCAAAGAAGCACTCCCTAGAGAGGCATGAGACTTTAACACTGACAAATGCACGTGGGAATGAAGCGCCTGTCTGCAGTGAGCAGCACAGGACTGTGTCAGGCCTCCACACAGAAGGCCACTGAACTGCAGTGCCCACCCCATGCAGAAGTGCTGCTGCCATCTAACAGGATCACAGCTCCAATAGTTTATATCAGATCTCCTTCCCACTTCAAAGCCTCAGCAGCAGCGTTTGTGGTCTCACTAGCTTGGTTCTATGGAGTAGAGAGACTGGATTGCCTAACATATTCAGCTATGAAGAGACAGATGCAGTCCTGAGCCCTGGAAGGCGCGTCATGGAGCCAGAGCGGCAGATCTTGTATGCACAGCTCAGATTTTGCCCAGGCATTTGCCACCGCAGCTCTCCCCAGCCTGTACCTGTTTTCCACGCAACTTGCAGTTTCACAGGGTACAAGAGCACCTTTTCTGCTTGAGTCACATTTGCTTATAAAATGCCATGATTACCAAACAATGGGGAGCAAAGCTCCTTGCACATCTCACTAAGCAAGAACTCATTGGCTAAAATGTGACTTTCGGAATTTTTCCTGGACTGACAAGCCTCAAATTACCAGTAGCTCTAACAGGTAGATGAGGGACAAAGACATCATCATCCCCTGGTACCACTCTCAAGAGCCAAAGGCTTGTTCATTTGCTCATACTTGTTCAGTGATCAGTATGGAGATGAGAATGGCAAGTGCTGTAGGAGGCTTAAAAACTGATGCCCAAAAGGATGTTTTCAGAGAGCTGCTAAGCAGATGGCTCTGCTGCAGAAAGCCTGTGCTCAAAGCAGGGAGACATCAAACAAGTGCTGGCATTGCACATGTGCCATTTCTCACCGTGTTATTCCAGCAGGCCCAGGACATCCAAAAAGAAGAAGAAAACACACTGGTGGAAAATGTGCAGAGGACAAATTGAGAAAGATGCTGAGGCAAAAGGTCAGGCTGCAATCATGGCCAGCTCCCAAATCCAGTTTGTCATCACCAGTTCAGTGCAGCCAAGGACATGGTGAGGAGGCAATGGCCTCCTCAATGGAAATTACCTTCCCCTTCCAAACACTCTTGCTTTGTATTTTCTTCCACTCAAATAATGTCACATAGGGTCTTTGTGGCAGGCAGCTATCTGCAGTTGGCCATATACTCTTTATGCTTGCAGAAAACAGTTCTAACTCATTTGCATGAGGCTGAGTGTTGCCAAGACAAGAAAAATTAATTTACTCAGATTTTGAGCAAGATGGAGTGCAGTCTTCTTCTAATTGTGATTGTTGGAAATGGTGTCTGTACCAGCAAGAACTGGTCTGTGTCCAGGAAGAACTTCTTGCCCTTCTCCCATCTTTTATTCTGCTGACCTACACTTTGTAGTCAGAAAAGCAGCTCAGGCACTTAATGAAGTCTTCCACCTTTACTTACGGAATGTTAAAGATCTTGAAACGCCATGAATTTCTGCAAAAGGAACCAAGTTTGTTGTTGAACATAGCTCGGCCCCTGGGCATAGGGACTGCCACATCCCATCACAGAGGGGTCTGCCCGCATCACTGAGTGCAGCTCCCAGCTCCACACAGCACTACCCACAACTAAACTATACATCCCTTGTCCAAATGCTTCTCCAACTCCAGCAGCTTTGGTTCCATGCCCAAAAAACCTCTTAGAGAAGAACCTCTTCCCAGACCCCCATCTGACCTGCCAGAGGCAGCTCCACTCTGTTCCCTGGGGTCCTATCACCAGGCATCAGAGAGAAGAGATCTGGCACCTGCACCTCTGCAGCACTGAGGACAGCCCCATGCCAGGGCCCTGCAGGGTACTTTGGCTCAGCCACTGCCTCCTCTCTTGCAGGACCATTTCTCCTGCACCAGGCATCAGGAAGGAATTTACCCCACAGCCTACTGGCAGTTTGACAACGAGAGCCTTTACTGGCATGTTATAATTCTTACTGCATCTGCGATTTGCATTACTAAGGGAGCAACAGCATCTATTGTGGATATTTAAATTCCTACTGGGGGGAATCTGGGGCTCCTTGGTTTAAGCATCTTTATTTGGGTTTTACAGAGTCATTAACACCCTCTGTTCCCTCTGAACTCAAGACAAGCTGCACACTTGGCTTTTCAGAAATTTGGATCCAAAGTGGCTTCCCAAGGTTGAGAAGCAGTCATTATAGCTGTCTCTAAGCATCCTAGCCATTCTTCTTGCTTTGGTGGGCAGAACAGGGGTGGGTGAGCTGCAGAGCTTATCTGCCTGTAAGTGCAGCTGGATAGGCTGGTGGGGTGAGTAATCCTGGAAGTGAAGTGTGCAGGGAATGATGAGGAAGATTTACAGCATGAGAGAGCTGGAGCTGTGCAGCCTGGAGAACAGAAAGTTCAGGGGGGACCTGAGAGCAGCCTTTCAGTATCTAGAAAGAAAGGGACAGGCTCTTAAGCAGGGTCTGTTGTGACAGAACAAGGGGAAATGGTTTCAAACTAAAAGGGGAGATTTAGACTAGATATAAGGAGAAAGTTTTGTACAATAAGGGCAGTGAAGCACTGGCACAGGTTGCCCAGAGAAGTGACGGTGCCCCATCCCTGCAGACAGCCAAGGTCAGGCTGAAAGGGTTCTGAGCACTGATGGAGCTGTGGCTGTCCCTGTGCACTGCAGGGAGTGGGACCTGATGGCCTTTAGGGGTCTCTTCCAACTCAGATGACTCTATGATTCTTTCTCCTTCCCCTCTACCAATCTACCAAGGCATTAGGAAGAACCTTCAGCTCAGCAACCCACCCCAAACCATCCCAACTTTCCAGGACAAAAGCAGATCCTGGTGGAGCAGCACCTCACAAGAGATGCAGACAACTCAGCTCTTGCAGTAAACGCTCTAAATTCATTCTGACAGCATTGTGAGCAGTTCCAATTTCCAGCCAGACTGTATCTGTGCCACTTTAACCCCACTGCTCCTACACAGAGCTTTTTTCCTCTGATATTCATTATTCTGATTGGGATCCTAAGCCTGCAGTACCTAGAGGTTCCCAGAATGCAAGTCACTTCTTGCATTCTGTATCTACACAGAAATTTAGGAAAGCAGGACCAGAGTGATCTTGAAGGCCTGGGAACAAGAATCCATTCATGAAATCAAGGTCCCAGGTGGCACCAGTCAGTGTGAGGATGCGTCTCTGCTGGTACCCTGCCAAGGAGCCAGGAAATCCTGCAGAGCATGGGAATAAATGGGCACAGGGAAATTCCTCTCCATGAGCTTTGGAAAAGGGTTAGAGAGGTAATAAAGTCCCAGTCCTTGGAGGTACACTGGCCTGGATAGGCCCTTAACAATATTATCCAGTGTGGGAGCCAACACTGCCCCAGGTGTGGTGTGTCCACCCCATCCCACTTCCCTACCTCCGGAGTTCCCTTGGCAGCTCCCAGGGAGGAGAAAGACCACAGCTCTCCACTTTCAGTGCTCCAGAGGAATCTGAGCAAGCAAGCTGAGATTAACTTGACCTGCAGAAAGTCTTAACATCTGCCCCTAGACTGGCCCTGAGGGAATCACAAAGCAGCAGTCATGGAGGCTGATAAAATGGCAAAAGCTTCATCATAAAATCAACATCTTTAATCAACTCTGTCAGTGATGAGCCCTCGGGAGGCTCTTCCCCACACCAGGAGATTACTCCCTGGAGGCTGCTGTCCTGTTTTCATCATGAAGCGCTGACATCCCAAGGACAGGAGTCCTGGAACCTTAAAGGAATCCAGCTCTGGCTTCAGGACACGACGTGTCAGTAGTGCTTGTCCCAGCCTGGCACCAAAGAGCCGTTCTTCTCTCCTGGATCTAAACAAGAGGCCAGCTGCAAGCCTTTCACATCAATATAACCATTTGATTTTAGGAGGAAGAGCTGGCTTTCTTTCCAGAAGCAGGCAAGTTGATCTTTGTGTGGATCAACACCAATGCTAAGGATGGTACCGCCAAGGCAATGCTGCAGTGCCAACAGTACCACTGCAGTAATGCAGCTGTACTGCCGTGGTACCACTGTGGCACTGACACGGCATGTGACAGTGCCACCAGGAGTCACCATCCGTGGTGGCAACGGGCTGGCAGTTGGACTAGATGATCTCAGTGGTCTTTTCTAGTTTGAATGATTCTGTGACTCTCTGATTGCTCTGCACCGTCATGTACCACCTTGGGAGTGCCTCGGCACATTGGTCCTGTGATGACACCACCATGGTGCCACCAAAAAAACCAAGAGAGTGGGAGGGGAAATGTCATGCCATGCATCCAGCATCCTGCAGAAAAGCCAAAGCAGCCCAAGGACCCAGGGAAACTGAGTGCTGAGTGCTCAGCAGGCACAGCCATACAGACCAAGTGGGGTCCTCACCCAATTTCCCCCCCCACACACACACACACAAACACACCCATGTGCACATCTGGTACATGGGGGACCTGCTGCAGGGGTCAGCCACAGCTGGGTACATGGCCTCCACCCCACAGGGTGCTCCTCAGCTGCTGCAGGCCCCACAAAGCACTCCTTTGCAATATTCTCCTGGCCTGTGCTACCCTCCCTAGGGTTAGGCAGTCTTATGGAGCAGAATGAAGCTCAGCTTCACAGCAGGGAGCACCAGTATCACCAACACAGGGGGCTGGGCACCTCCCCTCACCCACTGGGTCACCCAAAGAGAGAGAAATGTGAAGTTTGGCACAACGGGTCTGACTCTCGAGGTGGATGAGGAAGGGGGATGAGAGCAGAAGTGCTTCTCACCCTGCTGCCCCATTTTTTTTGGCTGAGGTGCTTCTGGAATAGCCAGGAGTTATGGTCAGAGGCAGATCGAGGACCACGTGTTAAATGCAGCATTTCCCTAAGCATGACAATAAACAGCCATTCAAAACAGCCATGAGAAACGGCTTGAATGAAGACATTTCCTCTCCCGGTGGGTTTCCTGCTAGCAGCACCGTTTCTCCTGCAGGCTGGTCCAGCCACCCTCCAGCTGTTCTCTGGAGCACTGGCGTAGCTCAAAAATCTCCAGCTCAACCTCCCCCCCACCCTCCAGAAGAACGGGCTGAGAGCTTGTTGTTCCCCCGTCTTAAAAATACCATGGAGCCACTCCAGTGTGCCGGAGGTTCCTAGAGAGATGACCGATTTTACACGAGGGAGGAGGTTGAGCTGTCATAAGCAGGACCAGTTAATGAACTGCTGCAGTCTGGACCAAGAGCTGAGACTCCGACTGAGTCTTTTCGGCTCTTTTTGGAGAGGTGCTGCAGGGGGCTGAGCACTGCGTCGCACTGAGGTGCCTCATGATGCCTACAAGGACAAATTCCCCCCCAAACAGCTTTCCCCAGGCTCCTCTGCATGGACAGGGCATGCTCTGGACGGGGTGGCAGGGAACCGCGACCCCTTCACCACTCGCAGAGTCACCGAAGCCGCAGGAGCCAGGCGGTGCCGCAGGAGCGGAGCCCCGGGCTGGCAGCCGTACCCGGCGTGCAGGGACAGCCGGAATCCCCGCGGAGGGGCAGCCCCACGGGGAGGGAGGTGTCCGCGGGCGTCTCAGCCACGGCCGAGCGCGGCGTTTTCCCACGGCCCGAGGTGACATCCCGCGGTGCTGCGACGCCTCTCACCCCGAAACTCGCCCGGTGGCGAGCGCCCGGCATCCGCCTTACCTGGGGGGGTCCGTCTGGCCGCTCCCGTCCGAGCCCCTCCATGGCTTGCGGAGGCCTAACGAGCTGCGGCTCCGGCGAGGGGGAGTCCTCCTGGGGTCGGGGCGCGTCGTCCAGCTCCCGCCCCGGGGCCACGCGGGGCGCGCCGTCACCGCCACCTCCCGCGCCTTCACGCGTGTCCGTCAGCAGGGCCGCGTCCGGGCTGCCGGAGGCCACGGGAACGGCGTCGCCCGTCTGCGGCGGCTCCGGATCCATGGGCGCGGGGCGCGAGGCTCACGCTGTCGCGGCGAGGGCCGCCCGCGGCTGCGGGAACGGGCACGGACACCCCGAAGGCATGGGAGCCGCGGCGGCGGCAGAGACGGCCCGGCGGGGACGGAGGCGGCTGCGGCATCCCAGTGCCGGGGGGGGCTCCATCCCCGCCTGGATCCGCCGGCTCGGCGGGCGGGCGGCCGCCGTCCCCCCCCTTCTCTCCCCGCACCCTACAAAGGCCGGGCGCGGCGTCGTGCCGGGCCGCCCGCCGCTCTCGGCCCCGCCGCCCCCCGCGCCGCCCCCGGCTCCATGCCCGCCACCCGCCGAGGCCCGGGCGTCCCGCCGCCCCTCGGAGTGCGGTGCCGCCTCTCGGCCCGCCAAACCCCGCAGCCCACGGCGGCCGCGCCGCCGCCTCATCGATATTCAGGCGGCCTGGCACCCCGGCGGGGCCGCGCCGCGCCCGCGGCCGCCAATCGCGGCAGCTCTGCCGGTTTCCATGGCGATGGTGAGGGAACGGTGCCGGCTGCCTGGTGATGGGGAGGCGGGGGGCGGCGGCACCGGGCCGGTGGGAGCCCATCCGGCTGCCCCCGTTTCCCGGTCGCTGCTCCCCGGCGCTGGGTTTGAGGTGCCGTTGCCCTGCACGAGGTGAGCGGTACTCTGCTGGGGCCCAGTACCTTTCCCCTGCCCCTCCCGCTCTGGGGACCACAGATGCTGCCCCGCAGGGCCCGGAGCTGGCTCAGCCTGCTGCTGAAAACACAAAAAGTGCTCTGTGTGCCCCGGGTAGGGGCTGCCGTGGGTGAGAGTTGGAGGCTGGCGCGAGCAGGATGCTGCAGCATCGCTGTGACGCGGGGAGATGGGAGCTGGTGGCATAACGCTTCAGCACAGTGTGGGGCAGCAGACACACGCTCAATCTCTCTGCCCACTCCCCATCATGCTGTAGTACTGATGGAAGCACCCTGTGCAGCAGCCATGCTCAGCGGAGGGCCATTCGGCTGCTCCCTGGGGCCCCGCTCCCAGCCATGCACAGAGCCATCCTGTTCTTCATCCCTCCTCTGCACACCTCAGGCACCGCAGATCGGCTGGGACTGATCCTGCCCTCTGTGTCTCTGTGTGACAGCGCTGTGTCACACGGCTGCTCCATTGGACTGCGGGCAAGGTGCAGCACTGGGGCTCTCTGGCTGCACGTGCACCTCGGAAACTGCTCTGTGAGCACCTCCTCGGGGAGCTCTGTGCCGCATCCCGATGTGCAGCATGTCGATGTGTCAGCTGCCAAAACAGGCGGCGCTGCCTCTGTGTCATCTCAGACAGATCACCACGGTGAGTGGTTTTCTCACCGCCGGCTGTGCAGGGTGCAGATGACCCACTTAGATGCTGGGGGAGGTAACAGCCAGGTCCAACAGTTACACATCCCCCTGAATGCAGAGCTCTCCATGCCAGGAGGAGACCTGGCATCTCTTGCTCCCTGCCCACCGCTGCTCCCCTTCCCCGAAGGTGTCGGGGAGGATCCCTGATGCTGCACAGCATGCAGGGAGGCCCAGGCGCAGCGCAGCTCGTCAACAAGACAGAACAGGCAGGTTTCATAAGCAGGAGGGGAGAGCCAGCAACGGGAAGGGAAATGTGCTGCTGATAAGATCGTGTGGCTGCAAGCAGTGCGTGGCCTGCAGTGTGCACACAGCGCAGCCTCACTGGGAGCCCTGCTCTGACACATCTCACTTAGCGTGCCTGCTGCTGTGTGCTGCTTGCATAGCTGTCCCTGCTCACCCCACCAGGTCCTGCTGCACCACCGGGGTCCTGCTCACCCTAGTGGTTCAGGTGTGGGAAGCTGAGGAGGACCCCAGGGAGCCCTCCAGAAGTACCCCAAATCCCCCAAGGAGCTGGGACTATTCCCTGTGGTGCAAGGATAGGGTGTGCAGCCCCAAGAGCCTCCTGCCTCTTCCACCACAAAGCTGCAAGAGAGAACATGTTCTGTGGGAGAGGATGAATAAGGAGCCAAGAATGACCCTGGGGTGCTCGGAAACCAGGGGTCCAACCCATAGCTTTGAGCAGGACACACGTAACTGGTCCATTAGCAGCTCTGGCCAAGATAGGGAAGGAGGCTGAGGACATGCTGTGGGGGGGTCACTGGGGCAACTGGTGGACACAGACCTGCTTCCATCTAACTTTCCTGCAGGCCCTGGGGCTGAAGGCAGTGAGGGATCCAGCCACCACCCTCACAGCCCAGGGGAGTGAATGCTGCATTGGACTCCCTGCAGCATCAACCATGGCGAGGAGCATGCTGAGCTTACCCCAGCAGGAAGGGGACACGTTTCCTTGCATGAACCTGCACTCAGGGCACAGGGAAGGCACTAAAATAGGAGCCGAGTTGTTTTTTTTTTAAGTTGCAGTTTCTGTTTTGCTGCACTCAGCAAGAAATGCGTTTCCAATGTCTCCGCAGGCAGTGAGTGCTGAGTGGTTATAATATTTGTGACCACAACAATCCTCAGACATAAGTACCCGAAATTATCTTTCCTGCTATTTGCATACTCACTGTTAGGATCACGATCTTTCAAAACCTTTTAGGTTAAAACTGCAAACTTGGGCTTTGTTGTCTTCTTGGGCACATAACAAAAATGAAAAAGGCTGTGCTGTGTTCGGAGCCGTCCTGTGTTGTGCTGTGTTGTGCTGTGCTGTGTTGTGCTCTGCTGTGTTGTGTTGTGCTGTGCTGTATTGTGTTGTGTTGTGCTGTGCTGTGTTGTGCTGTGTTGTGCTGTGTTGTGCTGTGTTGTGTTGTGCTGTGTTGTGTTGTGCTGTGTTGTGCTGTGCTGTATTGTGTTGTGTTGTGCTGTGTTGTGTTGTGCTGTGCTGTGTTGTGTTGTGCTGTGTTGTGCTGTTGTGTTGTGCTGTTGTGCTGTGCTGTGTTGTGCTGTGTTGTGTTGTGCTGTATTGTG